CTCTGGTCCAGCCTGTCTGCATCACCTGGACACTTTAAACAAACAGATATATATGTAAAGAACCATGTGTACAAACAATATAACTTATTATCTTCTGTTGAACATGTTGGATTGTGTATTGTCCGAGTCAGGGTCCTTTTTATTTTACTGTAACTTTGGAAGTTGTGTTACCAATGCTTACCGTTTATTTGATACCCATTTGGTAATGCAATTAATAAAAACAACAAGGTTTGGGTTCGTTCTTCAGATGACTGTGACGTTAACGTGTAAGCTCAATAATGAACTCCAGCTCAACCAACCATATTGTAATATCTAAGTAATCATCTTGAAATATGACATTATTATTTGTAATATATACACACATCTTATTGTGAGGTTGATTTCACATACACTACTTCGACGTTAGCTTGTCTACACACTTGAGCATAGCCAATTTAAATTAACCTTTGCGATGCATACAGTTCCTACCTACATAATAAAATATCTCTAAGTTACAAGGATGACCTTATTTTATCAACCTCAAACAGAAGCCGTTTGTTCTACAGTATTATCCCACTTAACGCTTAACACTTGTCTATTTCGTTTTAACCTTTATATATACAGTCTATGATTTTAACTTGTAGGCTACGATTAGCATCGTTAGCACCGATGTAGCTACCACTCGCTTACACACTAAATCAAGCCTTAACATTCATTACGTAGCCGATTAAAATCATTAACACATAAATAAGTACTCGATTTTCACTTACCGCAAAACCGCATGCATGCACCGTCTGTTTTAACCGCAGAGCGAGTCACAATAGTCCGATATATAAGCATGAAGAACAAACAACCACGGCCGGCTTCAAGTTGTGTTTCCTGGATGAACTGACCAGGCAGAGTCCCTGTAGCTAGCTTCACGGAGCAGCTAGCAGAGAGACAAGAAGCTAGCAGCAGCAGTCACTTGACAGAGCTGTCACTCAATGTGACCACGCCCTAATTTATGCAAAATCTTTAAGACCTAATATAAATAAAAGGGTCGTGTTAGAAAACAATTCACATAATCATGAAGGTGGAATCTAACTATATCGATAATAAAATGTATGGAGCCAGGTGTAGAAACATGTTTTTTTCTGCTGTAAAATTGGGCATTTTAACATGGGGGTCTATGGAAATTGCTCCTTTCTGCAGCCATCGCCTATCGGCCGATGTATGAACTGCAGTGTGTGGCACTTCCGTATTGGCGTCCCGGCTCTACCCCACAGTTTGCCGCTTGGTATTCAGTCAAGCGGGTCAAAGTTACAAAGCACTTCACATCTTATTAATCGGCCTAATTTTACTTTACCAGTGCAGTAATAAAGTAATCTGTAGAAAAGCACCGTATTTAGGTCAGCCTTCATAGTAAGGCTACATTAAATGTTATAATATTCATCGTGTCCTTTCTACTGTATATGCATACATATTACTGTCTATTGCTTTCATTTGTATTTAATGTTATTGTGTTTATACTTGTTTCCACACATTTCACAATTTGGGATGAATTAAGTGTCTATCTATATATGATATCCATCTATCTGTCCGTCTATCTATCTAGCCATCTGTCTATCTACCTATCCATCTATCTGTCTGTCTGTCTGTCTGCCTGTCTGCCTGTCTGCCTGTCTGCCTACCTACTATACCTGTCTGCCTACCTACTATACCTGCCTGCCTACCTACCTACCTACTAGTTGTTTTGTTTGGAAAGGTTTTGTCATTGTATTGCTCTTTACCGGCACCTGCAGAGTACAGGACTTTACATTGTACTTACAATTTTACATTGTAACTTTGACCCGCTTGACTGAATACACAACAAACAATGAAGAAAGAGTTTTATCTGGGCTGCTTCGCTGCCAGCTGCCCCTGTTCCGGATTAACTGGTTCCCCGATCAACTGGTTTACAGCGGTGGGGGGCGTGGCCTTCGACTGAAATACACATTTCGATCGCTTTCTTCTGTCGTTTACATAAATCTTTTGGTATATTTGGCTCGGTAGGAAGACTTTGATGCACATTCAGTACCAGTGTGTGAGGTTGTGGTTACGATGGAGATATCCGGACGCGAATAGCGGGGACTACAAAAAGAAAAACGAGTTGACTGGGGATGTCTGTTCAAAACGTTGCAAGCTCCAATAAATCATTTAAACCAGCTATTGTTGCCAGACTTATTACTGAATATCATTCTTAATGTGATACCAAGTCCATCTGAGACCTGTGTACACCTTCAGACAGCCTCCAAGTGAAGCACACGTTGTTTAGTCACAGTTTGAAAGCAGCGTGGAGAAGTCTTCAGCTGTGAACCGCCCAGGGAAAAATGGGACCTGCCCAGGTTAAACTGTGTTACGACTTCTGTGGCTATCGACCAGCGATCATGTTTAATATGAAAGACTACACACACACATTTATCCCTTATAAAAACAGTATTCTGCAGCACTCATCCAGATAAGATGTGACTGTTAACTCGTTTTGCAAAGATAGCAGCAGAAATGTCATTGCTGCATGTGCAGGTAGACTTTAAAATGCTGATGGGTCATTAATGTTGGTCTCGGCAAACAATATTAGGAATCCTCTATTCAAACATAATATTCAGTATGCATCGACATGAAAATAACAAAAAAGTTCATGCTGGACTCAAACCCGAGTCCCAACAGCAAAAATCACTCGGGCCATGTGCGCCACGGATCTACACAAAGTCTTACACCACCACACTTTAATGTCTTGGATGACCCTTGTTAAAAAGTTCCAGAAAGATGCAACCCCCCCTCCGGGATCCGAAAGTGGCGTATACGTACTTCAACATCAACGAAAGTGCTCGATATATGCTGTATTGAACCAATAAACTAACACAAACTAACTGTATCACTATAACATGATGATGATGGTGATAAAGAATGCATCTAACGTTCCGCTGTTCATTATAATAAAAAAAACAGAGCATTAAACAAACCATCATGCTCTTACTTTGAAATCATGCGGAAATGTCGCCATCAGCAGGTCATCACGTGGTTTCCGAAAGTAACCGAGTGACACGAGTAGAGTTTAGAAGAGACCGGCGTTGCGTTCCAATAGTCCATTTAGCTTAGGAACCTTCCTAACGGAGTGAAATGACCCGGAAGTCCCTCACTGGCAGCCATGATAAGTGCCGCTCCAATTCTCCAAATGAAAGGAAAGGAGGTTTCAAACTTCCTTTATAACCTCCTTTAGCTTAGGAACCACTGGACCTCCCTAACCGAAAGGAGAGGAGAAAATGCTGCCCCACAATGCATTGCAGCCACAGCATTTGCCGTCACTCAACAGTCGGCCGTTCACGGAAACAACCGATTATGACCGAGAAATGATATCATGAAAGTTACGGGGCTTATTAAGCATTTTAAAACGTATGTGGTAAGTTGCCAAAGTGCTTTGTTTTGAACTTTCATCAGTATTATAATCAAAAAGAGAAATATGAACGTTAGTTTTTACTGAAATGATCAAATAAAGTCAACATTTCACAGTCTTTACTGAGCTGTGTGAAGTTTGTTCAACTTGTAAAAGATGTTTGAATGGTGATATACACAGTGATAGATGTTAAGGACTAACGTTTATAATAAATACATTTGTATTGATTTTAAGATATTTTCATACAATCATACGTATTGGGATCATTTGTATTAATGTACCGGAGGGAGAGGGTGATGACGAGCATAAGTTTCACTTTCCTTTTTTATTTCAATTCCAACTTTGGTCATGAAGAATATGTTTCTCTGTTGTCCACGTTCATAAAGCATAAAGCAACAGCATCAGAGCACGGTGCAGAGTCTCTAGATGAGTTTACAGTAGTCCCTCGTTCTTATTAAACATCCATGTTGTAGTCGCTGTATAGAAAACTGTAGTTTCCATAGTTTCCCCACAGCAGCAGACGCACATTCATGACGTCCGCTGGCGCATCATAAACACGGATAGTGAAAGTGCATTCGGATTCTCTAAAGTACCACAGTATCTTCTTCTAAGTCCTTTTGAATTCTCCTATCCACTATCCCTTAACCCCGTGACGTTTCACTCAGAGGTCAAGGAATAGGAGATAGGGTTAGAATTTAGGAGCTGATTTTTGGATTATCGGAACGCAATCCGGCAGAAAATATGTCTCAAAATTCCGTGTGTGTAAAAAGACGATCCACAAGCAGAAATGTGAGATCCACGAGCAGAGATTTGAGATCCGAAAGTGCATTTTTGGTCAACAAATACAAAATGGATTCACAAATGCCTGATCGCAAGTTGTAAATGTTAAAGAGATATTCACAGATCTTTTTATTTTATTTGTGAAAATATTTAGCGTATTTGCAGATCCGTTTTACACTTGCAAATGTATTTGTGAGTTTGCAAATCTTTTAAATGCATTTGTGGATGGTGTTTTACATTTACAAATCACATATTTATATAATTCTTTTTATGTTCACACAAATAATTACGAGACATATATATGCCCATACAATACATTCATGATTGTATACTCCATTACAATTAAACTCCTGCATTCAAAACCGTACTTAAGTAAAACTACAGAAGTATTATCAGTACAATGTACTTCATGTGTGATTTACTATATGACATTAGATAATGTTTACAGCATTCTACTCAAAGTATTGACTTTTGTAATATTTCGTATAATTTTACTATTTTGTACCATAAACTGTTAATCCACACATTTATTTTTTAGAAATGCATTACATTTCTGAAAAGTACCTAAAAGTTAAAGTTGAATCAAAAGTATTTGTTTTTAAAAGTACAGCACTTGAGTAAATGTACTTTTTGCACCACTGTAAATCAAACCAGCGTAAGCAGGCTGTTTAGCAGGGACAACTTAAAAAGCTTCGTTCGTTATTTTTGGTGTTGTTATTTTACACAACAGTTTCATAAAAGAAGAGTGGTAAGTTGTACATAAGAATAATATTGACCAGTTAGGTAACGACACTCATGTGAAACTTCTAGCTAATTACAGCTAACTTACCCACGTTTCCCCGTAGAGTTAAATACAATACTTAACGGCTGTTCACTACCGTTAACCGTTGTCAATTAACGTAAACTCACGTTACACGTGTTTTAAGAATAAGTTAGTAAACATGTGTGTTATCAATAAAACGTATTAACGACGTAACTTGACTAAACGTAAGGTCACAAATATTGATGTTTGTTCACCCTACAGATAGAAAATAAACAAACATTTCTGTTATCTGAGCAACCAAACAACTAACAAGCTAAAGTCCGACGTCCCATCGAAACAATACAACTGAAACTTACTTGTTAACAGGATTAAGTGAAAGACGCTGACTTCCTACTGTAGGTTAACTTACCGCTAGAAAGTTAGTATCGGTCTCTCTTGTAGATCTAGAATCCACAATTAAGCGACATAGTGGTTAACGTTGGGGATCACATCCACCGTTTGTCAGGTTTATCTTTAGGTTGTACCGATTCAAGATTGCGAGAATGACGTCTCTACGTTGGCCAATCAAATCAACACCTTCAGCCTTGTGTGTGTGTGTGTGTGTGTGTGTGTGTGTGTGTGTGTGTGTGTGTGTGTGTGTGTGTGTGTGTGCGTGCGTGCGTGCGTCTTTCTCATAGTCTTTCTTTAGGGTTAAAATAATGTTAGGGTGTGGCTTATTAGGCATTTTGTTGTGATAGTTAAGGTCAGTTTGACAGTGATTGAAGTAGAAGTTATTCAGATATTAGTTTAGAATAACTTTGTTAATAAGAGGTAGCCTAATCCTTTAACATTTTACTGAAGTAAAAGTTAAACTATTATCCTCTACTTAAAGTGCAAAATGTTAAAGTAGCCTACACGTTATGTAGAATGCCCATTTCAGATGGTAGGCTACACTCTTTTGTATCAAATACCCTGGGATCAACAAGGTATTTTAATTTATAATGCAAAAAACATATTTGTAGATTACATTTTGTATTATTTATCTGAATTGTAGTGAATTACCTTGCAATTGTAAATAAGTAGTACAGTACTTGAGTGCACTTACAGTATTACTTAACTTACCACCACTAGTTAAGTTAAGGTCAATAGATGACCATTAATCAATTTCAACTTCTGGAATTGCCACTCCGTTAAAATAATTGTTCTACTGTTTGGTTTGATTTCATTTGAGCTTATATTTATCCTGTATTTTATTTGTATTATTCTTTTTTAAACCCTTTTATATGTATGTCTTTAAATATTTATTTGTGTTTCTTGTATCTCCATTATCCTATGAAGCCTTTCTGAGTTATTTAAAGTAATTTAAATTGCATGATGTAGACAAGTGGCATACAAATATGGAAGATTTTTTTTTTTGTTTTGTCTGTAACACAAAGGGTCAGAATGGCCTTCACACGTAGCCAACTTTGTGAGGGAGGTAAGATAAGAGGGACCTTGAGGATGTGCTGTGTTGTTCTGTGAAAAACAGTTTCTGTCTGGCAACTTGAGCCATAACACATTTCTTACCATTAGATATAAACTAGCCTTTTGAATCCCTACCACTATGTTATTCCAGGTGAGATTTTGCTTGATTGTTCCCAAGACTGGTACAAATATTACCAAAGCTTCCTGGAAAAGTGTGGTCAGGACACAAAGTCTGTTTGAGTAAACTGTTGAGACTAGACAGTTTTTATCAAGGGAAGCAGCCTTAACTCTTGTAAACATTTGAAGTTCAAATTATCAACAACTGTCAGCCTTTTCCAAGGTCTTTTTTTCTAAGACCTGAACACCTTAGAGATGACCTGGGACCAGAAATTAAGGTTGAGATGTACAAAGTACAAACCGGTTTTATTGGTTTTTCACAAAAACATAGGAGAAAATATAAAAGCTTATGTCAGACACAAGGACAAACCCAAAAGGTAAAAAATCCCAAATCCCCCAAAGACACACATTTGATATATTTTATAACCTTCCTCCCTCCTCCCTCTCTTCATCAGGTGGTTTCCCCTTGCTGTCTATAGGTAAGAGGGAGGATACATAGTTTCAGCTTTTACTAATTAACAATTGAAAATATATAATATAAATTAAACAAATAAACATTATTGAAATTATATTACATTTTAACAAAAGTGAATAAAAGAATATATATGAAAGCAGAATACTTAAACAATGTCATATGGAATTCAACTTCTTTTAACTCAATTGAAAACAAGAAAACTTTCTTACTGTTCAAAACTTTAATTTTGAACAGTAAGAAACGTATTAAAAATGTAAACTAGTGTTACTAAGTTCTGATGCCTCCTGATGTTAAGGCTAAAATAATAATGGAAGTACAGAGTTCACTCTCTTCCTGTGCACATTGTTCTTTGGCCACTGGCCCCACTGCTGTTGTACCCGTACCCTAACCCAATTATACATTTAGTAAAAATTGTACATTTCATAGAGGCAGGATTTGTAGGTGAGGTCTGTCACGGCCACTTAAACAGCAGATCCGTCAACAAGGGGATAAGAAATCCAAGAGATAGTTACTACAACAGGTCATCACATGATATTAGAGACTAGACAATTAGGATTTTTCCAAGAGATATATATATATGTTTGAAATGAAAGATCAATACTTAGTGAAATGTTTCCTGTTTTCCAAATATTTTTATCAAACTACTGTCTGCTACTCTCTTTCTCCCAAATAATGTGGATCAGGTCGGCTACACAATGCTGTCTGGCCCGTTTTGACTGTCCTTCAGGATCATGGTTGCTTCTTTTAAAGTACTGTAACACTGTAAAGTTGCAGTTTTCACACATGAAGGTTCAAGTCTTGACAATAAAAGATATGATAGGAATACAATGAACACAAATCAATGCGTTGTGGACTTCAAACTTTGGAGACCTACAGGAGGAATAAGTGTAATGGGAAATGTTATCATTCTAAGTGAGCATTGTAAGTGTACCACGTGTTCTTCTTCTCAAGCGGTTTCTAATACAATGGTTGACATGTAGCAGTAAATATGTCCTAACCTACATGAGTCGTAAATAATGTCGGATTGATTAATTATTGTAAGGTTGGTTGCCTTCTCCTTTTAAGGAATGTAGAACATGTTGTCTCTCCTGCTGCAGGTTTATTAAAAAATAATCCTATAGCCTCTCCTCTTCTATTTTTTGTCTGAAAATGTGAAGATAAGACCCTCTGCGGATATCTTGATTTTTGTACTTCGCTGCAGACTGCTCGACACTCTGTAACGTTGTTACTGTTATATCAGGCTGGGACCTTCTCAATATAACTAGGTATGTTATTGAATTACAGTTTCCAAATTTAGAGAGGCCCATTGTCTCTTTGCTAATTATTCACTTTAAGTGAGCTGACGCCAAGGAAGTACAAAGAGGCCCTGCTCAGATAATACAGTTAGTTTGTTAGTTAGGTGGTTCATATCCTGACAAGATATGAAATACTCCTAAAGAGGTCATGAGATAATGGTCTTTCCACATCTGGAACATATTAACATATCAACTAATCTATGTTTGTGTGGTTGGCTGCATGTTGTTCTAATGTTCGTGCGTTAAACATGGTTAGGGGAAATGAGTGTGCATCATTTAGAAACCTAAGTATTGCATTAGTTGAATACATTGTGATGTTTGTGTGTTAGCTGTATGTTCAAGTGTATGTGTGTGTGTTTTTTATAAAGCACACGAGATATTTATAGTCTGTGGAGCATTATGACTGCTTGAGAGCAAAGGTAATGTTTCCTCATTATTATTGATTGTTGTACAACAAAATAATAATTGATCAACTATATCTGTATTTGTGTTTTATTGCTTCCTCTCGGTTTCATTCGTTCCTGTTTTGAGTGCTGAATTGCACAAACATTACCTTCTTGCAAGACTAATCTCGTTAAAAGCCTGTCTTATTTCAAGTATCTTCATTTCAGTATAACAGGAAGGTTTCCTCACCATTTTATAATATTTGTTAGTTTATTTCGGTGAAATTCCACCACATACCTTAAACCTGGAACCAGACACACCCTGATAATTGACAGAGTTGTGTTGAGTAAAGTTGAGTGACAGAAAAATACTGAGCAGACCGTGTTTGTCATGTTATTTTCATGGCCGTGAATAGGTGTAACAACAGTTCCAGACACATGTAGCCTACACTACTAGCATATCTTAGAACTCCTTATCTGTTATGTAACTTGTTATTCTGTGTATGTATACATTTTACATGTCACCTGTTAAATATGTGTTGGACAGCAGTCTGATAACAGCCTTACAACCTGGAAGAGTTTGAACATCCCTGTATGTAAGACAACGTTGGTCCTTCCGATCTCTCGGCTGTGAATAATTGTTCTATCATTGACACACTTTTTAAAACATATTAATCGTTACTTATTGGTTAATTTGATGGGTACAGTGCAACTTAATGGATATCAGTAGAAATAAACATAATGTAAAAATGCAGGCAAAAACAATAATATACATCCGTCGTTCCCAGACAGGTAATCTAATGGCAACAAAGGATGAGACGAGAGGCAGATCTGAGTGCCGGGTTTTAGTTGTATTTCAGTGTTGTAGTCATTGACATAATTCACTCATGGAACTACGGGTTGGGGGGTATTGTTCCGCACGGACATATATATTGACTATACCTACTGTGTGCCCTCCTTTCTCTTCCCGGGCTTCGAGCCGATAACATGTGTGTGGCTGACGCTCATTAAAGCTAGCTTTGTATCTTAGATGCACCCAGGGCCGGACTGGGACAATAAGTCAGGCCGGGAATTATACACCCAGTCAGGCCACTACCAGTTTTTTGTGCCATTTTGCTGGATTTATTTGTCAATATTTACAGCGTTGCTGCCGTAGTGATAGCCCTCTAAATCTACTACCCAAAAATAAACATATGGACATGGGTTACTATTTAAAAAAAATTGCAAATCTATTTAGGAACCTATGTGAACATATTTTAAGTGGGGGTGGACCTCAACTCCTATAGGAGGGTCCGGGGGCATGCTCCCCCGGTAAGATTTTGTTTTAATGTTGGACTTAAATGCATCAATCTGGTGCACTTTGAGGAGGAAATAAAGAGACTACACCCATATCATATGAAACATAACTGAATACATTTAAATAATCATAAAATCATAAGAACATGGCCATAACCAATAACATACCATATCCAATATGGAAAAACATTGAAACTTGTTTATTTATTTGTTTTTGGTTCATTTATAGTTGTGAGTGTGTCTGTGCTCCTGAACCAGCCTCTCCTGTCTCCCCCTCTCCCTCCTGTTCCTCTTTGAGGCAGAAGCAAAGACTAGTTTTAGCTCTCAACAAGTTTTAATAGTTTATCTTACCTTTTTTCACCTAGTTAACGTTTTTTTTTTTTATTATTCATGCATATTTTACTAATCACTCCCCCCTCAAATGGAAATATGTGTTTACATAAATGGTGACCAAACCGTTTGAGACCCACTGGGATAACTTAGACTAAGTTAACTATCTAAACACTCAGAGTCCTTTACCTCACCTGAGCTGTAGTTATCAGTCTCTCAGTCTGACAGCAGAGGAATCTCCTCCACCTTGTTGTTGAAAAAGCTCCTTATATCCGTTAGCGCAGCTAGCTAGCACCAGATGCTAACAACAACAACAACAACAATACACGTAACCGGTGCGCATGCTTTATCTCACTCGCTCGCGCCACACATAACACACACACACCCTCCCGGGCTTGAATGACACACAGAGACCAATCGAGGGCATTAGTATGATCTGTATGAAAGTGGCCATGTCGGCAGGCCACATCATGTAGACAGCCAGTCACCCTCTGTGAGGCAGAGTCAGACCCACATTTGCGCAGCGTTGCGTTCACAATACATAGGCCTACATAAAAAAAAAAAGTCCTCAGGCCAGCAGGCCACTTAGCAGGCCAGGCCATCGGGAAACCTCCCGGTCCTCCCGATGGCCAGTCCGGGCCTGGATGCACCGATTCCGACACCCGTCTCTCAGCACTACATTGGTGACCCTGACATAAGTCTCGCAGAAGTTTCCGAGAGTGAACCGAAGATGGCAAGAAACGCCGTTTTTCTCAAACTGCAAAATCCAAACTCCAAATTTTTGGAGATGTCCGTGGCTGCATCGTGCGTATGGACTGAGGCTCGTTTCGCGCTCCGCGTAATGGCCGAGGACGACGCTCGCCATTTCGGCACTGGGAGACAGCCAGCCTTCCGACCACATGGAAATGATGCACGTCCTGCTAGGTACGGAAGAACCCGACTTCTTGTTCATGGGACTGTTTCTTCGGGACATGCGGCCGCGCTAACGGCTAACGACGACGACTAACAGCTAGCAGCTAGCAGCTAACGGCTGACTTCATCCATCTGTTAACAGCCAACTGTTAACCCTCTTTTTGTGGTGCCGGAGAGGAGGTTCAACCAAGTCTGGTAGTCCTCGTGTGGATCCTCTCACAATTTCCCCTACCTGTTTTTGATCGTATTTGACACTACAGTGTCAAATATGGTACAACAAGGCAACAATACCGAAAGCCCTCATTATACAAATATCACACGTATATATTCTGCTTTTCCCAAACCACCTGGCATATGTAATTTAGTACGATTAGTTACATGACATGCCAAGTTTTGTCATAACAAGAACATCCAAATGTCAAAATATACTCCTGACCTTCTATTCTTCGAGATGATTCCCTCTGGTCTTAGTTTGAAACCGTTCCCAGTTTAGGAATAAGCTATAAGACGTACATTTTCTCTGTTACGGGACCAATCTTTGTTCCTTCTGAATCTCATGTCACGCTGACCTGTTGTTATTGGCTACGGGAATACATTTCTAAGAATTCCATTAAACAAACCATCTCATGCTGATGGTCCTTCCCGCCAAAGCAACCACCTTGTTGGTATGGAGTGAACCCGTCTTTACTTGTGACTAAAAGCTTAACAAAACAATGTAATGGGAACCTTTTTAACCATACACTATAAGAGTTAACTTTAAAGATCATGACAAAACATAGCCGAGTATAGACTGATCTCTAACTGATTACATTTTAAAAGTAAAATATATGACATTCATACAATGACCCTCTAAATAATCCTACACATGACAATGGAAACTAAGAAAACATGAATTATTTACTTTTTGAAATCCCCTTAATATAAAAACGTATACATTCCTATTTACATGGATTGAACACACAAAACAGTTCTGTATTTCCTTAAGCCATTGTTTAAGAGGGGCCCTCAAAATTGAGTATGTAGGGCACTCCAAAACTTGAATGAATTAGGGCAATGATCAGGGCCGGCCCTTGGCATAGGCAGTGTAAGGAAATATTTCTGTCTTACTCCTAAGTGTCAAAGAATAATTCTTCCTTACTCCTAAAATATTTAACCTTATTCTGTGTGTTGACATTTACGACCATCCCTGCTTCTAATCTCCCCGTAAGGAATGTGTTAATGCAGTCGTATGTTGATACTAGGTTTTATGGCCTGACCCGGTGGGCACAGGGGGGGTTTTACAACTGTGAGAACGCTGGCTTTCTAAGCTCCACAGATGTGAGAGACATCTCCTGTGTCTGCAGATGTTTACGCCCATCCCCAATATGTGGATTGGACTCTCTGTAAACTAGTTAAAAGGTCTACCAAGATGCGAGGCTAGTCAGAATTGACATGACAACCCACCCGTGCAGTCAGAACCTTTTGTTGCTGTGACTTGTGATATGAATTCTCCGGCCGTTGACTTGTAATAAACATAATTGTTGACATCAAAGCTCCAACTCTCCTCGTGTCTCTCTGAGTCCTGACTCTCCATTGCTGCAGAAGTTTCCCTTACAGGCAGTATAGGTGAATGCTTAGGGCGCATCAACCCATCGGGGGCGCCGGAAATAAAAATTTAAAAAAAGTTAGAAATGTCATAACACAATTTCCCGATTTTGGATCAACAAAGTACATCTTATCATCTTAAGCTAACAGAACTACGCCTATATTGCGTACAGCGCCAATAAACTATGGCACACTCCCCCCCCAAAATCAAGTTGAACTGCCCCAGCCCCAGTCAAAACCAGGTTTATATGAAATAGTTCTTTTTTTGAAATAATGGTTTTAGTATGCAATTATAGGTTTTAATTTTGTATTCGTGTTAATTTAAAATAAATCAAACTCCCAAAAAACGTATACAGCTTCTTTCTGTGTGCTTTTATTAACATTGGAATTTACTGTATAAGCGGTCGGGGGGGGGGGGGGAGGGGAGCTTTAGAGAGATCTCTCCTGAAAGACTGAGCGTTCTGATAACCTCAGCTCAGTGAGGTAAAGACACACCTTTATATGATCATTATAGCTATAAAAAAATAAGAGAATAGATGAAAAATAGGTATAAAATACTATATGACAGTACAAAAAAGTAGTTATTAATCAACAAGAACACAGTTTGAAAGGAGAGTGATTTGTAAAATATCCAAAAAGAAAATCTGCTTACAGTTCTGTTTCATATGGGTGTTGAGAGATGTATCCATAGATCTCCTAATGTTGCACTCAAAGTGCACCAGATTGATGCTTTTAACTTCAATATTTAAAAAAAATCCCGGGGGAGCATGCCCCCCGGACCTCCCTAGAGGAGGTTAGGTCCCCCCCACTTAAATGATAAATCATGTTCAAATGGATAGGAAACTAAATACATTTGCACACATCTTGTGTCCATATATTTCTGTTTTGGTGGTCATGCCACAACCGTGCACATGCATGCATGCGCGAGTCATAGTGAGTGTCTGCATTTGGGGGAGGGGGGCGCGCCAGCTAAAATCTTGCCTAGGGCAGCAAATTGGTCAGGGCCGGCCCTGGCAATGATGAATGAATTATGAATACAGTGGTAGGCAATGAATGAATGAAGCCAAAGTGTATCACATGAGGAAATAAGTAGCTTGGCAAAATGGATTTTCCTCTGGTAACAGGAGAGCGTCATGTGGATGAGTATCAATTTGCATTAGGCTATAATCAGTGTCTTTGTTCCCTGGGTACTAATGAGTGGGGGTCCTTATCACATGTGTGGTGGTCTGTCAAAGCACTCCTGCATATCGTAAACTGTTGCCTCAGGAAAGAGTTTCTCACACATTGACGCTATAAAACCCCTTTAATGTGTCAGGAGAGTATTACCACCCGACTGGGTTTACCGGGAACATTCTTGACTTTATCTGATAATGCTGTTTTATGTCTTGTTTTCACAGCTGGGGTCATACTAGAACACGAAAAGGGATTGTAAAAAAAATCCCAATGATAGACAAATGGAAATGGATGAGTTAAAATGCTCATGGGCTCGTACACTGTATTTCTTATACCACTTTATACGGTTGAAAGCCTGGACTAATTGCAGCTCAAGGATACACAGTGATACATGCTCTTATCTGCAGAATGCTGCGAAATAGCCTGGATATTTGGAGTTATGTTGACTCTGAGATACATTTCATACAGTACTTTAAAGAATTGCAATGTTAGCAGTCATCAGGTTTATATAAAACTACTAACTAACTTTAATGTTGCAGTCGAATGAGGAACTGTACATTTAAACATTGTCCTACTAAGAGATGTTGGTTGTGGGAAAGAAAATGTGACCAATTTGTGAGACTTCATAACCAATTCAATCTGTAACTTTAGATGTGGTATAGACTCGGGCACAACATTTGATAGACAGAAGTTTACAATGAATCCAATATAATTCATATTAACCCAATCCTTGTTTTTGGAGCGACAGTTTTTCACTATCCCATCTTCACATTTTTAAAAATAAACAAATATTTCACATTCAACAGAAAGTCTGCATTTAAAGGAATTTTATTAAAACAAACATTATAAATCAAAGTACACTGCTGAAAATGTAAAAACAAAAAATATCTACAGTAGCTTAATATCCTGTCTGAAAATGTTTACAAACGTATCCTTCATATTAAGCAAGCAAAGGTTTTAAATGAACTGGCAGTTTATTGAACCTGTTGCTACTCCAATGAATCAATTTAAAATGGTTGTGTATGTAACACACAAATATATCAAAAAACAAGATGGCAATGAACAATTTACACCTTATTTGAAATGTAACAAAGAGATCAGACTGGGGATTTTTAGGCCATGTCTCCAAACTTCCTTGTGTTCACAAAAATATCTAATACAATCGGCAGTATTTAACGGGTGTGCTGCAAAAATACCTTGTATTTACATGGTTTAACAGGTAGTCTTCATTGAGGAGGGTTATCGGTTATATGGGGACCTGGAGTAAACAACCCTGTGCCAGTGGCCATAAATGAGTTAGCTGATCCCTGGGATACGATTCCATTATCGGCTGCAGGAGGATAGTGATTGAACGGAGGTTGCATGTAAACCTGAGAAGAACTCTGTGTTTGATCAATCCTATAGTTGGCTGGAGCTGCAGCCATCGTCCATGAGGAGTACTGCTGCTGCTGCTGCTGCTTCTGCTGCTGCAAGAGCCACTGCTGCTGCCGTCCCAGCATCACCCAGTCTGGGGGCAGAGGACTTGCTGATATGTGTCCAAATGATTGCATACTGAAGGGCCCTGCTTCCTGCTTTGGGAAGACCCCCCTTGTTGTGTATGCAGGAATGTGGTCTGGTGTTGTGTAACTTCCAACAGCGTCAGGAGAAATAAACACTTGCTGTCCATTCAAGACGTATAGGCCTCCTGAAGCTTTGCTGGGGCGCATTGGTGCAGCTGCAGCTAGCGTGTGAGCAGCCCGACCCCCCTGGTTCATCTCAGTGAGTGCCTCTCGGTTATAGCCGCTCATAAACAGATCGTTAGGCCTGGCAGTTATGATGGTGTTAATGGGCAGTTGGTTGGGTCTGACAGTCTCTGGGTTATCGTTGGGGACTTCACAAAAGAGACTAGGGTTTCTCTGATCTTTGACACTTATCTGGTGTTGTGGGTCGCTTGGGTCCACAGTGCTGGCAGAAGCTAACACTGTACTGACTGTTTGGGCTTCAGTCCCTCTGAATAAAAGGTTGCCTCTCGTTGAAGTCGAGCCCATAAGAGATGAGTTGTTTGCGGAGAGAGCCCAGTTTGCATGAGGGGCGACGAGTTGCTTCTCATGGCCCACAGGAGCTGCAGACGTTAGAGACATCTCCTCAAATGAGTAGGCGGCGGCTGGATCTTGTGTCACATTAACATGCTTTAAATCCCCTGTTGTTTCTTTTGGGGGCATGTTAGACATTATCTGCACATGCTTTTGATCCCAACTGCTTTTCACAACCCTTTGAGATGAATCGTAAGTGCAGGAGGTTGCATTCTCATTATTCGAAGGAGGTGATTTGCCAGAGGAAACATTTAACTTAGTCTTTCTCACCAGAGCCAATAGGTGATCAAAATGCATCGTGTACTCGGGGAGTTTGTCTAGTTCAAAAGATTCAGGTCCTGCGTCCTGGTCCAATGGAGACAGGAGGGGGGGGGTTGCAGCAGGGTTGACTAAAGAGGACTCAGAGGCTGATTCTGAGCTGGGCTGACTGCATGTTGGTTTGTAATATTTTGGCAAAGGATCCTCGAGTTGGGGGTTACTTGTGCTATATCTGTCCAGAGTTGGTTCATCAGCTGGTCTTTTTCTGGTTGGAGGGCATTTAACTGTGGGAGACAGTGACAGGGTTTGAATGGTTTTAGGACCAACAATAGCGGAAGATTGGGATTCTAGATGCACCTCAGCCTGTTTTACTTGATATTCTGTGATAGGCATCTGGTGCTGAAAGTCTGGGGGTCCTGGCTTTACTTGGGGACTAAGAGATGAGATGGGAGGGACAAGAAAATCAGCATTCGGGGAACTGCTTTTCACATTCAGAGGACTCAAGACTCTCCTTTGTTGGACCCCATCCAAATATCCAACAGTGTTTTCGGAATGATATTCCTCTATTTCTTGTCTTGTTTCTACAGAAGGAGACATGGGAGAAGAAACAACAGAAAACAGTTAGAGAAAATAATGAAAAAGGCCACTTTGGGATTGTAATTGATGGACCTTCTAACAATTAACAGACAAAAAAAAAGGATAAAGAAAATACAGTTTAAACTGCCGTATGCAGAGAAGACGCCGACGTGTCGCACTTATCATTCATATCACATCATCAATCAGATCATCGATCATATAATATCATAATATAGCCTATCATATATTTCCTTATCTGAGTCAGCTGAGCCGTATCTGGCCGTGCAACACTGACAGTGTCACATACTGTCTGCAGAAGTATTATTTTAAGCAACACATTAGGTTGACGAAACACTCCACTCGTGTCTTTTAGACGGGGCAGGGATATCATAAAACTGTTGTACGCTTTCAAACACTCGGTAGTTTATTTATTTTTTAACCAGTTGTTCTATATTCACCTTGCAGGTGCATGTGGCTTGTGGCTATGTGACTTGTATCCTGGATTATATGTTTAAATCATGGAGGTTTAAAGTTCATATTTGTCAAATATTAGTTTACTTTTCATTAATGAAGTATGACGCTGCGCTGTCAGTACACTTGTCCCTGTTTGTGATTGGTCAAATGTTGCTAACCCCGCCCCTTTCACGTGAACGCGCTCTCAGCTGGAGAGAGAATCCCTGGCTTGATTTACCAAGTTGATAACCAGCGTTGTAGGACCGCTTAGCGAAATCTCGTTTCTCAAACATATCCAGGGTATGTTGAACTGGCTTCGTAGTACAGGGCACAGGTGGCTGCATAGCAGCGCTAATGTCAAAGACACAAACATTATATTTTTATTTTACCAGGATGCAGTGACAAAAATATTTGGGAAGGCTTAGCCTTCCCTAGCCTACAGTACCCGCCGCCCCTGGCTATTACCTAGCATGTGGGACCGGACAGCTTTGATCCCCATCGACAGTGGCGATTCTAGAGTCTGTGGGCCGCTCGAACCAGCTTTCATCATCAGTGGCACCCCAAAACACTCTTTTTTCCCCCCCCCCCAGGCGGAGCAAGGCAACGAAACTTAAAATAAGAAGCAGAATCTTACGGCGTGCTATGCATGGGGCCGCCTTGAGGGGGTTTCCCGACATGTCGTTGAAGTAAATTAAAGGGTGTTTCATGTTGTCGTTGCTGTGGACCTTCTTAATACCTTGGAAAATGCCGTTTAATACCCTTAATTTTCGCTAAATTGATTTATCAACTTTTAATACTTTTTAAGACCTCGCGGACACCCTGTGACACATATCAGCAAAATTATTATTGTACCTACCTCATGTGGGCCCTGGCTTATTGTCAGCATCAGAGCCCTATTCAATTTCAGACAAGAATAACTAATGTTTGACTTGTCACATTTAAAATTCATATTTTTTTTTATAAATGCTACAAACAATTTAAAGCATCTGCAAATGTGAATAAACACCTTCAAATTTACAAGAGACAGATATTTACCATGAAAAACCTACAAGTACTATTCAAGTTATACCAGGTTCTGGTTAGCTGGTGACAAAAGTCGTATATAACATTTTGATTGGTTGTCATTTTAGTTAAGCTGTGTGAAAGAGAAAAAAAGACCTTGAACTTGGCTAATGGGACTCACCCTTGTGTTGTGCTGTAAAGCTGGTTTGCCAGTCCAGTTTAGGATCTTTGAGGTCTTTAACCAGTTTTAAAGCTGCAAAAAGCAAAAGGCACAGTTGATACCTAACACAGCATACTCCCATGTACCATACACTCTGTAGACATTGCAAATTGACTGTTTCTGTTACCTTCACTGAACGAAAGACTCTTAACATGTTCAAACGCCCCCGGTCTCAGCAGTGTGCACTTTGTGAGAGAAGACACAAACACTTCGTATATTAACTTGTTTCATTAGACTAGTGAAGCACAATGGTGACATATCTTGTCCATCATAAATTACACCCGATCTTGACCGTATTACCGCATGGATATGTAGATAACATGCATGAAACATGAACTGGTTACCTGTGCATCCACTTTGTAGTAACACTCCCGTTTAGAGAGCATCATGGCGATGCCCTCTACGATCTCCCGTTTCATCTCTTCAAGAATAAAATCACGATCCCAGAAGTTTAGTAAGTCTGGGTACTGCATCCACTGAAAACACATGCATATCATATTAAAATGTGGGGGCAACACTTTCATCTTAAAGATATTTTTGAATCCAGTTTTCACTCACAATGTATTGTAACTGGTGATCATAGCTCCTCATGTGTTCACAGATCTTATAGTGGATGATCATTTCCTTGCAGCTCTCACACAGGTAAAACGGGCTCACAGAAATCCCCTGACACTCCCACACAAAGCCCTGACCTGGGGGTGACATGCTGGCTTTAACATATTGTATGCTCTTGACAAATTAAATTGAATGAAAAAAAGTGAAAAAAGTTTGCTGTGCAAGGTTGAACCCACCTATGATTGATCCACCACGCTCAGTTCCCTGTACCTTCAAGTAGGTGGACAAATGACTGCTTTCCCCTGTGACAACCATAACAACACATTAGTACAATAAATGGCAAAAAACACTCAAGACTTAATGATGATGGAAAACAATTTCAAAGATGTATACAATACTGTAGCTTACACAGTGTTCCTTATACAAGTACGTTTTGATCAAGTACATTTGCTTAAGCCTCAAAACCAAGCCCCTAGGAAGTGCGCCGGACTCTGAGGAAAATATTCGTTGTGTCCAAACGGCGGTACTACAATTTCCGTATCAGTCCGTGACGTCACTGGGCCCAGAAATACTTTTTCCCATTGACTAACATTGGGAAAGAGACGTCTGTAAATCAGTGGATAATTTTGTTTAAACTAAATAAACTACCTAGTATGAACTATTTTATAGCCCTTATTATAATCATTAGGTCCTTAAAGTTGTAAAATGCACTAAAAGCCCAATAAAAACAGAATATTTTCTGTCTATTCATTTTAGTGAGCCGAGAGTGGGAGCTCGGGGGGTGGGGCTTAAGGGGCGCATGCTCTGTGAGCGCACATACGGGTTCTTCTGCTCTGACAGCCAGGCATGACGGGTAATCTGTGACGTTTCGCTCTCAAAAGTTGGGCCATTTTGTCCTCATGCGCCAATGAGCAGCTCTCATAGGAAAGAACGAGACCCCGCCTCCGACGCTGTATCCAGTTCTTATTATACATCCATGCTCAAAACCTTATTGCCCCGAACTTGTATTTTGGATGAGAGAACAAGAAAAAAAAATGCCAAAAGATTGCAGAAGTTTGGCCGACGCCAAGCTCAACAAAGTAACACTGCCACTCAAATTGACTAGCTTCTGTGGCACGGTACTTTCCAAACTTGGCACAACTAATGTTGTTTTTTTTTAAAAACAGCAAATAATGCAGGTCAACCTTTAACACCTACCTGTTAAAAACATTGTGAGTGCTTGCGAGTGTGTCGACACATGTTCTGCCCTCTGGCTGGATTTTGGTTGGTTCTGCTGTTCCCTGCTCGAGTCCTCTAACTCTGGATCTCTTCTCGCCTGCTGCTGTTTAGTGTTGCGGGTCTCTTGGCATGTATCTGGGCTGTCTGTGAATCTGCCTGCAGCACCAGTGGCAAGAGGAGGCTGATAATCCTGATGTTTCCCTATATTGACTGCTGGAGGTAAGAATGAGAAATTGTGGATATTTGTGAAAATGACAAATATACGTCATACACTGCATAATTAAAATGTATACACAGTATAGTCTGCACTCAATTTATTTTGCATAAAAACAATACCTAACATATCAATGATTGCACCGAAATCTATTGAATGAATGCAGCTATAACTGGATTCAATTTCTGAATAAGGAACAGCGATGTATTAAAAAGGTGTAGTTTATTTAAGAATAAGACGGCTCATTACAGAGAGTGAATATGAACTGCTACCATCTAATCGGAGATACAGGGTCCCACGATTCAATAAAGTCAGACTGAAGCACTCCTTTGTGCACCAGTCAATCCTCACAGTAAATACAGAGCTAAATCCCAGATCAAATGCACGCTAAAGGGTCTTTGAAAATGTTTTCTTTCAGTGATTTGCCGACATGCCGTCATGTTAAATGTTTGTTTTTCATGTATTGTATCTTGACAGTTGTCTATGTTGATGTTACTCATGGAGCTGCTGTGACGCAAGTCCAATTTCAGACTCGATCTGACCAATAAAGTATTATCGTATCGTAGATCACAAGTGATTTTACACACGATTACAAAGTCAATGCAAAGATGAAAAATGTGCGTGATGCCGTTTAGCCAAAGCTCATCAGCATAGAGATCCAACATTCTAAATGTAAACAAATCAACATTATGTTATTTCATAACTGTTTGTATCCATTTTATTATAAATATATTACAGCAAAATCTGTACTCAACCAGATTCATTAAGCCACTTGACTCAAATAAACAGAAATGATCCAATGGTCAAGCTTGTGTGATCAATGCAAGGCTGAAAGCTGGGTTGTGTGTGAACACAGTAAGCATGTATGTTTTCACCTGGAATCTGGACCAATCGTGTCTGGAGCTGATGCTTGATCTGCTCTGATTGGTTAACAGGAGAAAGACCTTCATTTTGCGGCATGTAAATACCTGAGAGACAAAATTGCAGTTATAATATAATGCTATACTTCTGTGCCTTATTGAATGTCTTCCTTTCAAAGACAAGTCATGAGTTTGCCAAGCTATAAAAAAGTACAAGTGTAAAATTGTTATGTATTTGTATGTAGATACAAAATATGCATATATTTCAAACATGGTGCTGAGAAAAAAAGACCCTTTAACTTACAGTCATCTTGTCTTGAGGCTGGACTGGTGTAGGTAACGTTCTGTCTTAAAACTTCTGCAGTGTGTGTTGAGGGTGAGGAGACATGCACGTCTCTTGTTCTTAATAAAGCTTTCAGAATTCCTACAGCGAAGAATAAAGAGAGCGACAGTCAAGACAAAGACCATACAGTACTGTATCAAACAGTCTGTTTTGTTAGATCCCAGGTTACCCCTGTTCAGGTGGTACTGGACCTGCTCTCTGTTGAAAGGGTCCGGTTCTCAGCCCTAATGGCACCACTCAGAGTTAACGGAAAGAAACTGTTCCAGTTGGTGGCAAGGAGATACGCCTACGTGGCTCACACTGATAAGCACCAGGATACAAAGCCATAAATCCCTTTCTATTTAAATGTTAAGATTATATCAGAGATAACCCGGGCTTGCAAATTCTCCCTTACTGCTGAACTGAAGAGCATGTAGAAAATCCTGTGATCTTATGCTAAGTCTTTTAAAGTCTTGGCAGTAAAAGATTTTTGATAATCCAAATCGTAACCCACAACTGGTTGGTAAATGATTAATCCTCCCGATGTTTGATGCAGTGTGTTCTCTATCACAGTTTCAGATGCTCCCTTACACATTCTCATATGATGAAGGAAGTCAGGCAAGGTCATCCTGTGATGTAGTCCGTCCATAGGAGCAAACCAAACTGGTTTGAAGATGCTCATACTCGTGCTTTTAAGCCACACATGACAGTCTTGTGACAGTGTGTGTGTCAGTTACTTCATGACAGCTGGTGTATATTGTGTGTGTGTAGAGGGTTTCCTCTTCCCCTACATCTCTTCATCAAGGTAGCCCAGGCTCTGAACTCTGCAGCCTTTATACTAAACTTACTTCCACTTATTGTACTTTTTCACCACTATTTCTACAATTAGTAAACTCATAAGCACATTTATAAATCAGTACATTCATATGATCAATTATAATGAATTCAAACAACTCTATAATGAATTCAAAACATAATCGATACTTTTCTACACTTGTTTTGGTGCGTTATATCATCATGCTTTAAAAGCAGGAAGAAGATCCCAACTCACTGGACAATGGTGATGATATAATACAGATACCAGATCCCAGTGTAGAACATGATTACGGTTTTATTATTTATACAAGTGTCAACTTAAATGTGTTTAAGGGGTAAAATAAGGGAATTAAACCAGTTAAAAAAATTATAAATCAAGCCTTAAACCCTGACCCACGTTTTGTTTTTAAATTGAGTGCGATTGATTTATGAATATGATATGCATTTACCGGTTCTAAAATAATATCAATAGCAAAACACACTGTTTTACACTCTATAACAAAGAATACTTACCAACTTTAGGAGTTGTGGAGTTACGTGATGGCTCTGTGGTTGGATTTGTGTGCCTGTTCAGTTTAGGATCTTTTGGCGCTTTACTCTTTTGAACATTTGGTGCAACATCAGCTGTTGAAGCCACTGAATTCTTCATAGCAGCAGTCTTTACAGAGGCTTCAGTATTATCACATTTCACTGCCATTTTAATATCGGCTACAGATGTTACGGGATGGGTTTGAGACAGGAACAAAGCTGTTGAGACATTTTCAGAGTTTCTGGAGGTATTTTCCTTTTTGGAAGCAGGTGCAGTTTTGAAGGCGGCTTCATGCACTACCATGGACTCTTTGTTAGAAGCTGTGGCAGCTTTATATGAAGTCTTAGCTGTAATATTGGCTGCAGCTCCAGTAATATTTTCCAGAGGTTTGGGCAATGTTGCAGATTTAGTTGTTGACATCTCACTGGAGATGGATGCAGTTGAGGTGGTGGTGGTTGCTGCTGGTTCAGAGGTGGTGGCAGTAGAGATGGAGGGAGTTGCTCTACGTCCATTGGCAGTTTCTCCCATGGTGGATATGGAGCTGGCTGCTGTTGATTTGGCTGGCATGGAAGTCTTTGGCGTGGTTTCATTAAAACATGAAGTTGGTGCAGTTTTGCATGTCCCCTCTTTTTGGGAAATAGCAGCTATTTGAAAAGGTACAAACATTTTGTTTGAAAGTATTTCAGCTTTGTGCACGCTGCTTTTGGAAACAGTCAGGCAGGAGTCTTCTGAATCCTCATCAACCTCCATATTCACCTCCTTTTAAATGAAATGAACAAAACGATATTTTGTAGACTGCTCAGTTGTGCAGCTGCCAAAGAGCCACAAATCAAAACAGCTGCATTTCTTTCATGCTATATCTGTTTCATCAGCTCAGCATGCATTTAGACCCGATTGATGTCAAACAGACTGACCTGGTAGTCGTTCTTCATAGAACCGAGCTGATGTTGAGCAGTCGATGTGTCCACAGGTTGAACACTAGACGGAGCTGAGGTATAAGATCTTTCATACCTTCTGATGTTCATTTGATCCTGAAGTTTCTTAACCGTCTTGATGGCTTTTTCAGATGATAGAAAATACAGAAGGAATACTTTACAGTAGAAGCTCTCTAGACTTTTAAAATCATATGTTAATTGAATGATATGAGCTTCAACCAAAACTACTAACAACATAACATCTTAAAATAAGGGATGGATGTAGACTCACCTGATTTAAAGTTTTGTACCAAGATTTCATCGTAAATCTCTTTCTCCAGATACTCAACCTGGAGTCCAGATATGAACAACAATTAGTAACTGAAGTTACCTACTGTAACTCCAGCTTCTATGAGTAATGGCGTAGCCTTCTAAGGCTATCGCTATTGGGTAATACCCTGCGCACCCGCGCAGCACTGAAACACTTGTAGTCCACGCCCACCCGCGAGGTGGGCCACACCCGCGGGCTTCCTTCCGGTATAAATAGAAAGGAGGCCCGACAATCTGCTCCCACACAAAACAACTTTTCTTCAGCTATTCGTGGAGTCAGTGGGGCCCAGCACTTAGAGGGCTACGCCAATACTCAGAAGCTGGAGTTACAGTAGGTAAATTCAGTTCTATTTCGTATATGGCTTCGCCCTCTAAGGCTATCGCTATTGGGTTAAGGGCAAAGCATGATGTAGTCTGCGTCCCACTGGGTCCGCCCGGTACTAGAAGCACAGACACCTGCTCAGATAATAACCCATGCCTATTGCGCCATGCCTATTGCGCCATGCGAATGGCGCATCACAGTCCCTGGAATATAGCATAACATGAATATTTTCCATGAGAGGACGAAGGCTGGGAACAATACATACCTGCCGCTGTGAGAAAGTAGAGACGAAGGTCATACTTTGCCCAGTGACAAAAAGAGGGGGAACAAGGGCAGCTCTCTGCGTGTAGACAGGCAGGAGAGCGCACAGCTGGATCCCTGACGTCACTCACTCTGACAGGACACTCAGTACAGGGTGTGTCAGAGAGGAATGGGAGACATCCCTCAAATAAAAATGAATAAATGAACAGGGGGAAGACCAAGATGCAGCAGTGCAAATGTCTTCCACTGACATTCCTCCATGCAAAGCCGTGGAGGAGGAAAATTCCTCTGGTGGAGTGCGCACTGATGTTCTCCGGGGGTTCCACCCCAGAGGAGACATATGCCTGTGACACAGCCTCACACAGCCAGTGTGACAGCCGTTATGCAGACAGAGGCTGCCCTAATGAGCGCTCTCTGTAGTGCAAAAACAGGCGCTGAGAACGGCGCAAAGCAGCCGTGCGCGCTACATAGCAGGACAGCGCGCGCACAGGACAGAGGAGATGAGACGTGGCTTCCTCCTCCGACCTGTGAGGAGGAGGAAAGAAGCCATCCAGGGTGATCACTCTTGACCTAAAAGAGCTTGTGATGACCTTTGGCATAAAAGCCGGGTTAGGTCGTAAAACAGCTGAACTGCCATCTCCTTGGATCCGGAGACATGACGGAGCCACAGGGAGAGCAGACAAATCACTCACCCTTTTCGCTGATGTTCGAACCAAAATTAATACTTTGGCTGACAACAGTTTAAGGGGAACCTGATCTAAAGGTTCAAATGGGGCTTTGCTTAGTGCGCGTAACACCAAAGCCAAATCCCACTGAGGCGCCAGTGCGCGTGACACAGGTCTGAGTCTCCGTAGTCCTCGCATAACGGCTGCTGCGTTCTGCGAGCCCCTCTGTTCAATTCGCCGGGAATATACTTTGCTCTGATGGAGAGCAACGTGTGTGCGGGGCCAGAACAGCAGCCGTCTGGCTGCGTTCAGAAGCTGCGCAGATTGTACTCCTCCCTGGCGATTGAGGTAGGCTGCCTCCATAGCCGTGGCCTGTTGTCTGTGCGAATCAACATATGTTTGATTGTACAGCAACGGGGCGAAGTGCTGGAATACTTCCCAAAACGGAGAACAGCTCTAGCACATTACCTCTGACGCACGGGGTCGATGTGCGGGCGAATTAACCACCTCTGGAGACTCCTCCTGCGGGGGAGACCCAGGAGGATCACCACGTGACCAGCTGACGTCATGCTGAGCAGCTGTATCACGGAGAGGGCTGTCACCACGCTGCGGAACGTGACATGCCCGTGCTTCAGGTTTCGCCGGAGGAGAGCTGTCAGTTTCTCCACTCGCTGCCGCGAGAGCCGCGCTCTCATGCTGGCTGAGATTAATTCCACTCCCAGATAAATGATTGTCTGAGAGGGAAGAGGACAGCTCTTCTTCCAATTCATTTTGAAACCCAGGCTTTGACAGATGCGATACGAGATGTAACGTCTGTAAAGCGACTTCCTCCCTGGAGCGAGCCAGCAATAGCAGGTCGTCCAGATAAAACCACACTCTCATCCCTCCTCTGTGTAGTGGCTCCAGCCTTATACACACACTTTGAAAAAATGCGAGGAGCCAGGGAATATCCGGACCGCAGACGATTGTCTGGTCTGATATTCCCTGAAATGAGAAACGCACGAATTTCCTGTGTTTTGGGATGATGGGTATATGTGGAAGTATGCATCCTTCAGGTGGAAGTGAACCAGTCGTCCTGGTGAACATATTCCAGCACCTGTTTGATCGTCAGCATGTGGAATACTGACAGATCGAGGATGGGTCTCATTCCCCCAGTCTTTTTCTGGATTAGAAAAATAACGGGAGTAAAAACCCCTGATTTTCTTCCCTTTGAGGAACCCTGGAAATAGCCTCTTTCAACAGGAGTTCCTGCAGCTCTGAATGGAGTGCAAGACTGTTCCTGGGATGACAGGAGTGTTTCCTGTATCCCATTGAACTGTGGGGGGGAGAGGCGAACCGCAGGGTGTACCCTCTGCTTGATCAGCCTGCTCATCCATCTGTCCATCAGACACACGCGCTGCCACTCTGAGAAACACTCTGAGAGCGGGCGCACATGCTCGAGATGTTCTGTGGTCGTCATTAGGGCTGTGCAATTGAATCGATCCTGCGATATATATGCGAGCCTGACGCCGAGGCGGTTGCTGTGGGCGTCTCTCCGCTTGCGGCCTCTGCTGCCGGCGTGGACGCCGAGGCTGCTGCTGCGGGCGTTGGTGTCACTGTGGGCGCTCAGCAGGCTGGAGCCAGCTGACATGCTGGCGAATGTCGTCCAAATGTTCCGCGGCCGTATTCATGGACACCATGACGTGGAACTGGGGTCCGAACAGCCCGTCCGGGCTGATTGGAGCGTCCAGTAGCACTTTTCTGGCCGTCTCCGTAACAGACGCCTGCTGCAGCCAGAGGTGGCGCTGGATCTGTGTCACCCACGCGGAGAAATCCTTGCCGGGAGACAGCGACGGATGCGCACAGAGTGAGTGCCGTGCTGGCCGCCTTGCTGATTTCCTCTGCCTCGTCAGCGGCCAAGGTGGTGAACCGCTCTACCAGCGTCACCACCGAGTTGGAGAGCAGCGGGATGTTATTCGCCGACGCCGGTCATGTCGTCCGGAGCACACCTCTCCTGAGCTAGGGGAATGGGGAGATCTCTGCAGGCGGCCGCCTTGTGTATGATCTCCGGCAGTTCCTCTATGATGCCACCTATTGCCGGTAGCGCTGTGGTGACGGAGAAGGGGAAAGCCTGTTCGGCCGCCAAGCTGGCACCCTGCTCCGACTCCGTCTCCGTCTCCCCCGTCCGGGGAAGAGGAGGGAGGGGAGAACCGAACGGTGAACCGTGGAGGAAGGCGGGGTAGGAGTAGTCCGACTCCTGCCCGGCACTCGGCCCCCGTCCACGGGCTCGTAAGCCTGGACGGGCCAATCGTCCTCCTCGGCCGCAGCAGCGAGAACGTCCGCTCTCCGCTTCCTGTCGCCCGAGGGGAGATGGGCACAGTGTGTGCATGCTACCTGCTGGTTTAGAGCCGCGTACATGGGCTCTGACCCCAGGCAGGATTCACATACTGTGTGCTGGTCATAACTCATTATGAACCCAGAGCCACATGAGGGACAATCTCTCACACAATTGTTACTCATGTTTACTCTGCAATCGAAGTGTCTCTTGTGCTTCAGTAACGGGGTGCTGAAGAAAAGAGGGAGCAGATTGTCGGGCCTCCTTCCTATTTATACCGGAAGGGAGCCTGAGGGTGGGCGTGGACTACAAGTGTTTCAGTGCTGCGCGGGTGCACAGGGGATTACCCAATAGCGATAGCCTTAGAGGGCGAAGCCATATACGAAATAGAAAACTTGTTATTTAATTCTGTTTGAATCTTTCAACTATGGCCACATTTGATACTTTCTTTGGTTCAATAAGTAACCAATATTACAATGTCCACAAATATAATAATAATGACCAAACCTGAGCCTCTCCATATCCATTCTGTTGTTCAAACAAAGCAGCCACATCTCTGATTGCCTTCACCTGTTGCATCTCTCGTAGAGGCGGGAGTTTCTGGAACTTCTAAAGTCAAAAACACACAAATGGAAAACATTTTCACAACAAAACAGATATCAGTTCTTGTGTATAAAATATGGTAGAAAGAAACACATTCTAAAAGAAAGGTTCTGAGAGGTAATGAAGATGTTTAGTTACTATTAATAGCTATCAGTAAGTAGCCTGCAATGTGAGCTGCGATATTCATTTTAAGACTTTTTAAAAGTATGTATTCAATCATATAAGTTGTGAATCTAGCAGCTGAAGGGGTAAAATGAAGACTTCAATGACTGAAATTATGTCCGGCATTTATTGTAAATGTGAAGCTGTTTCCTAAGGGAATAGGTCAGGATCAAGTCCATCTGTTATGACCTGGCTCAAAAGGCCACAACAAAGAGGAGACACACCATATCAACGGTTAGCATAAGATGTTTATTTAAACAAACAATTCAAATCAACCAAATTAATCAAGTGCAAAGCAAGTAAAGCATGAGGTGTGAACGTCAGTGGTATCAGTAATGTAACTGCAGGGTGAGGAATGCATTAACATGTATGTGTGAGGGTGTTGAGGTGCACAAAGTAAAACAACTGAAATAACTAATGACATACTCAACCGAACCGGGTGCCTGTATGAGAAAGCAGAGGGCAGACAGAGAGGAGCAGAGAGGCCTTAAATAGCTGCAGGGCACCAGACCTAGGTGCCCTGAGTTACTGCAATCAAGGCAATCAAGACAGCACAGCCACACCCTCTCTAGATGAACCCACAGGAGCAATTAGAGCAATATTCACATGGTATATGTACATATAAAAAACTGATATTAGGAAAAGGTGAAACCCTGAGGGGAAATAACTAGCCTCTGGAAGTGCCCAATCAATTCATCTAACTTTGTATGCATTTATGTACATAATGAGAATTTGACTGACTGGATTTTAAGAATGACACATAGCATACAAGACAAGACCGACCCGTAAAGTGTTTAAATATTTACTCACCATCAGATACAACTTCTGGTGGTCGATTCCAGAAACATGGCTGATGATGTCCTTCTCGGGGATCGTCAGAGAGCAGCAATCACACAGGTAGATGGGGTCACGCTCATCACATTGGAGTTCAACAAGTCCACTCAGGCCTAGAAGATACATTGTTCACCTTTAACATACGTTCTTATTGAATGATTAGGTAAATGTAAACAAATTGTATCAAAAAGTATATAGTTAAAAGTGCTTTCTCTTTTCTTTCTCCCTCCATTTCCTCCATCATTAAAAAGCAATCTCTTTAAATGTTTTTAAAAAGGCACTGACCAATCACAGGGTGTCGAGTCTTCTTTTTGAGAAACTGCCACAGCTGGTTTTTTTGTTGGCAGTTCACGTTTGAAGAACCTGTAACAACCACGGACCGAGATATTTTATTAAAAACACTGAGGCAAATCTTACACAAACCAAAATACAGCATTAACATACTTTCATCCTTTGCTGGCTCCTGACCTGGTTTGCCACTTTCTCCCCGGTCTGTGTCAGTAACCTGCATTTGAGATTCTGATGAGTCTTTTTTGGAGGAGAGGATTCCTTTTGTCTGTTTCTTTACTTGCTTCATATCCTGAACAGGACAAGGGTCCTCCTGTGAGATTATCCTCTTCTGTTTCAGGATTTCTTTGCCACTTTTGTTCCTCTTTTTTACCCTCTCCATTTCATCCTTTTTGTCTGTTTTTTTGCAGGTTACTGGGCTCTCCCTACTTGGTTTCTGGCATGTCTCACTACCGTCAGTCTTTATCTCCGCCAAACCATCTCTTGAAAACTCTTTTCTCTTCTGTGATTCTTTTTCACTTGGTGTAGGAATGTCCTTGTTTCCCTTTTCCACACTTTGTCCACTTTTTGCAAATTGTGTATTGGTGACTTCAGCACCAACTTCTACTGGGATCGTTTTCAGGGTCGTCTCACTCTGGTCTGTAGACTTTTGACTTGTTGTGTTCTCACAACACCCCATCATCCTTCCATTCTTCTGGCTGCTGTCTGTCACTTGTTTTGTGGCTACAGCTTTCAGAGTTTCTCTGGGGACTTAAAAACAAACATACATGACATCAAGTACGCATTTGATTATAATGATTGACTTTGTTTTAATCCAGTATCCACTCGATATGACTATAAACTGTCAAATTAAAAACAAAGTGAATGAGGTGAAAAGATTATTATTGGCGGTTTTCTAAGAAGCAAAATGGTCTCAAGATTTATTTTTCAACTCTAACCAATAAAATATGAAAAGAAAATAACATCGGAACCCAGACCTCGAATACTGCAAAGATAATGTTTCCATAGCGCTACAGGTACTAGGGTGATATTGAACTCAAAACAGTGCCATGACTCAACATTTTTATTTGGCTAGACTTACTCAGCTTCTTTCCAGGTATAATTGGGGCTGTAAGCGCTGCTTGACAAACGGTCCACATTCTGCCTGCCAGGAGTTTTAATGCTGGAATAAAATAGAGTAATATTAGTTAAAATAAATCACAGTCACAGATGCCAATTTGGAACATAGTGTGCACTAAAAATACTCACTGGTAGAGTAAGAGTACGAATCCCAGATTGGCCTCTCCATACATATAACCTTTAAAAAGGCAGAGAATATGGAAACAAGAGAATAAGTGAAAGGCTAGAGTAGTGCTTCTCGCAGATGATACAGAAATTACATTTCCTGTATAGACTACCTGTACACATGATATGGGGTGAATGCGCCCCGCCTGTTTTGCCAAGTCCAGCAACGTCTCTGCATCAGTGCTCGAATCCGTGGAGCCTGGATGGAAACTCTCCTACACACACAGACACACAATGTGCATATACACAGATGTTTAGTTTAGTCATTCTCTTGCTACACATGTTTGACAACATGTAAATGTGGACACACAAGTAATTTATCTTATATTTATATTATCTTTTTGTTTATGATGTGGTCTGGATGAGGCAGAATGGAATGATTGACCCCTCGGTAGCTGAGTGGTTTACAGTGCATGAAATAAAAAAAATGTTTCCAGCATTGTTGTTGTATGGCAAACCCCAATTTAAACAATCCAAAAAAAAAAAAAAAATGCAACAACAAAAAAGAAAAAGCATAGTTTAACAATTGAACACAATGCTTGGATTTGACCTGTCATGAATTTGCCTATCGACCCGAATAATTGCAAGTACTTGGCAACGATAAGAGCACCAAGTAATCAACATTAAGACAAATAATGCAGGAAGAAGTTTGACGAAAGATACTTACTAGAAATGTTTCCACATGGTCAAAACTGAACACATGAGCGTAACATTCATCGCCAAACAACCTCCTCTCACAAAGCAGACACACATATCCCTTTTTTGTGAGAGAAAGCTCTTTGGTACAGCTGGGGTAAATGACCAGGAAGTGACTGCCTGCAAAGATGAAGTAAAGAAACATCAGAAACACAGATTGCACTTCTTGTTCATGGCAAAACTTAATCTCTTCGGTATTACTCACCGAGCTGAGGAAATATCTCGTTTTGTTTGAGTTTGCTGTATGTTTCACGCTCAGGAACTGAACAGACATAAATACAGACAAAATGCAAAAGCCAAATTAAAGTAATGAATTCAATGTATAAGACTAAGATGTTATTTTATCACTCACCGTTGTTCCTTAAGACAGTGTGATACAGACCAAGTCTCTCCATCACTGCAGACAAATTTAAGAATGAGATGTCACAAAATGTACTTGATAAAAACAAGATCTTAAATGCAGAGAGGAAGAAGAGCTTTCTTTAAATTGTGTAATGTAATACCATTTCCTACCTTGTATGTAATTTAGCTGGTCGAGGCCCTCAAATATCCAGTATGGTATATCAAAAACCTGTGAAAATAAAAACAATTCTAATAAGTGAGGGCTTAAGGAAACATTCTTCCGCACAAGGTGATTGCAGAGAGGTAGTTTTGTTTTCTTCTATTACATAGCTTAACTTTATTGAGGTTAGTTATTGCCTTTTGGACTTCATTTGTTGTTTTTATGCTGTTGACAGATCTGCTGTTTAAATGGCCGTGACAGACCTCACCTACCCCTATTAAACTTACCATTGATAAAAAAAAAAAAAACTAAATTGGCTTTAGTTTGGTTTGATGGAAAGGAAGCATTTCTCAATAATGTCATACTAGACATATGAAACCAGAGAGAACATCCTGAACTTTTGACCTATGCTGATTATGCATTTTAGAATGTGGAAGCAAAGTAAAAAGTTTCCACCACAATTCTAGGACGGCCTTGTGGTTTTTGACATCTTAAGAGCGGTTACAACGGTTGACCAAGTCTTAAGTTAAGACTTTAACCAACATTCTGGAACAACAAATCTTAGAGACAATAGAGACAGTTTTGTTAAGTTTGTTTCTGTTAATAAATTAAAGTATAAAGTATAACGGTCAACCCGTTTCGGCAAAGAGTGTTGGAATTCTTAGAGGCATGGGTAGGAATATCCTTGCCATTATCCCCACGTTTATGCTTATTGGGCGATAAAACAGAAATTCCAAAACTGACAAAAAGTGCTCATTCAGTTGTAATGGTTGGGATAACCTCAGCTGCCAGAATTATATTGAGACACTGGAAAGCACCCACAATCCCAACATTTTACAAATGGAAGGCTCTGATCAGTGAAACAGCATCATATGAGGTTATGTTGGCAATAATGAGGGGTAGAGGACCTGTGGTTCAAGGAAGTTGGGATTACTGTGGAATACCTGACCTCTGACTAGTAGCCTGACTGTAGGACTCTCACAAAAGGGCCTTTGAACAATTATTCTAATCAAGCATCATTTGTTGTTATTATTTTATGATCGCTGTAGTGTTTGATTGGTAATCTTACACCTTTGTTTTTTTCAGTTTTCTTTTAACCAGGAACACTTCACATGTTTTGTAGCCTGACCTTCCTCTTTCTGTATGCTGTACCATGTGAGTTATGTACCATGTATGTTCATAAATACAAATGTAATAACAAAAAAAAGAAAGAAATCGAAATTCTAAACATGACATTGACAATGTGGTCTGCTTTCATGAAAATTGTTCTTTTTCACTTTTATTAAAATTGCATATCATTACTATAGTCTTCATTTGTTTAATTTTAACTCGACATTTTAATTGTTCATTAAGTAAGAGTTGAACCTATGTGACCTCCTTCTCACTCAAAGATAGGAAAGGGGAAACCACCTGATGCAGAGATGGAGGAGGGAAGAGACTATAACAGATGATGAGTGAAGAGAAATGGGGTCTTTTTAGGCTTTTTGGGGGAGGCTTTTTGGGTCTTGGCTTTTGGGCCCTGGGCCTTAGGTTGGAGATTTTTCGGGGTTATCTTGGGAGCCTATGCTTTCGTACTTTGACCTTGTGTCTTTGTAAAACCTTTACAGTTTTCTTTTGCATTTTTGGATCTTGTAATCCTCTATTTGTGTAAAAACCCAATAAAACCGGTTTGTGCTTTGTACACTTCGACCCAATTCCTGGTCTCTCTGGTGGTCTCTAAAGGTATCTGCTTGGTCTTAGAGTAAGGTAAGAACACCCTTCCTTGGAAAAGGCTGACAGTAGTTTGATCATTTGGACTTCAAATTGTTCAAGGGAAATAGAAACCCTGCTAAAGTTAAGCTGTAGTTTCATATTGGTGACTGCGGTTGATGTGGCTTTGATTGATGCTGAAATATGACATGTGCTTTGCTTGTGTTGTAATATCACAGCTGTGATATCAGTGTTTGACTCTGGCTATGCTTGATTTTATATTATTATAATTGACATAATTAGGGTTCAAAAGAGGGGGTGAGGGATTGTGGGTCCTGAAGCTGCCCTAAACCAGGGAGTCTCCCAACAACACAGGGTTTCTCCTCCAGGTTGAGATCCTGATCTGGGGTTCTACCAGCCCACCAACACCTACTGCACTACACACTCAGTTTGATATCCTGGCGGTCGGACATGCAACGTTTTAGTGCCTGAAATAAGTAATACGACGGGAAGCTGGTGTTAGAAGCCACGCTGTTAGTTGCCTCCCTAAGCAGATTACGTTGATCTTGTGTGTATATTTTGGGGGGTTAGTTAAAGATAGAACAGCCATTTTCCGGTGCCTTATCAGCATCGGAGCTCGCTATCGGAGACGACTTAGATAAACGTGGTTAGATTCCTTTTCAATGCAAATAAGCTTTTGAATAACTTCAGTTTTCACAGCTCTGTTCGAGTTATTGGGCATTTTACCTTCAGCTTCCTCTCGTTTGTTCCTCTTTCCTTCTCCTCTTCCCATGCCATTGATCTCAAAAAAGAAAGATCAAGGCAAGTCTCCCAAGCAAAAGTAAGCCGCCACGGGTTCTGGTACAGCTGAGAATTCAAGACAAAAGCTGATCATTTTAAAACAAGAAGGTACTGTATCATAAGTTGAACTTATTAAAAAAGTATCATTTTCAAATAGATAGTAGGCTATGTACATTTCCTTGTTACTGTTGATAGGCAAAAATGAGTGTGGCGTGTGTATTTTCAATGAGAACAAGAGTCATTATAATACACACCAACCATATAAACGACTCAAAGCTCACCAACGTGTATACGAGATGTTGTGTAGAGTGTAAGTGTTGTCTGAGAGAGGACTCGGAGAAACACTCCTCACAAGCGAAGCAAATGTAAAAAGGTTTGCTCTCAACCTGATTGCAGACAAACGTCATAATCAGGGAAATACCTACACAAACAAACAACACATTAAGAAATTATATATATTTCAGTTTCACACCTAACAAAACGTATGTTAAAGCGCTCACCAATAAGGGGTTGTTTTAGCTTCAAGCTCTCTTTGTGGATATAGTAGAGGCCCAGTTCAGGTACCCATCCTAATGTTTCAAAGGAAGAGGTTAGGAGGAAAAGCTTAAAATAATATAATAGTTTTACATAAATAAAAACACATGTTAAAATCAACTCAATCCTTGTTCCTTTAGTGTAATGAGTTTCCAAAATGGACAAAGGCATATTTTAGGAAACTGTTATAACATTTCATCATTGTCAAGAAAATGGAAGGAAAATGTATATAGGGTGTGATTCGTTTTAGATTTGGATCTACTTTTTTTCCGAAATGTTCCCAATATTGTTTTAATTTATAAATGAGTGTTGCAGCATGTTGTAACAGAAGGAATAACGTTTACCCTGTTGGCCATAACAATTAGCACCTGTAAGAAAAGGAAGAATATTATCATATCTTATTGAACAATACATCATATTATTAAAAATAAGAATAAAGTGAAATGGTACCTCCGCCAACAAATGTATTCACCATCTAGAAAAGGAACATGAGACAGATATTATAGTATGTAAGTTTCCGTAGCATAAGACCTTCTGTAGGAAGCTTTGAAAATGTCGATTTACCTCTTGGTGTTTCCATGACGACACGTGTTTGCAGTATTTAGAGAATAAGTTAAAGCTCCAACCGCAGTTCTGCCAAAAGTGAGATACAAATGTGAAACAAAGCTTAGGTTATTTTTATGTTTTCCATGAGGTACAGTAATAACTTCCAGGATACAGTAATTAAATGTGTTAGTGATATTTTGTTACCTGACAGTGTAATTGGTATGATTTAATAGGTTCCTCTGCAAAGAAAAAAACAGAAGAATAATTTAGTTTTTATGATCATTGAAAACATAATCCTTTTTTCTGGAATCTATCAAACACTAGTTCACATTGAAATAATAGATACCCGGCTTCTTCTCTGGATTGACAACTTTCATCACGCTGCTCTCATCGTTCTCCTTTGTGATGGATTCCAGCTCTTTTGAAGCTACAAGAAACCACAGGCATAGTAAGCAAAACACACTGGGTTCCACTAAAAAATAAAAACCAACCTTAGTAACAATTTGGATAGACATTTCTATGATGAAGCAAGAGTCAATTCTAAGGTTAATGCTGTGAGATTCCCTTGGACATCATTTGGTAATTCAGGTTGGCTTGCTTTTGCTTGATGTTCTGCTGTATGACATGTACTTTTCTTGTTTGGTTTCTGCCTGATAAAGACATTTTCATTTTTTTACACAGATTACAAAGTATTATAACTTATTGTTCTAGCAAAGGGTTTGCACAATTGTATTATGTATATATATATTTTTTTACCACACAGACGTATAGAGCATTGTTTTATTATCACTGTTCTAGCAAAGTGATTTTTTTATTTTTTTGAAAGGAATGCTTACGTTCATATTGATGTATTTTAATAAATGTTAACTTGGCCCATTACGTGACTATTTGTGTTGGGGGGGCCACTTTTTTATTTCTCCAAAGGGGGGGCCTGACAGAAAAAGTTTGAGAACCACTGCACTAGAATTAGATTGTGTCAAGGCACCCTAAATTCACGGGTTGTAGGGACTGACCTCTGAGGCTTCAAAGCAAGTTCAAGGAGAGTAGAACAGCTGTGTCTAATTAACACTGGGCATACATACCTGGCATCTTCTCTTGATTGACAACTTTCATCACGCTGCTCTCATCGTTCTCCTTTGTGATGGATTCCAGCTCTTTTGAAGCTACAAGAAACCACAGGCATAGTAAGCAAAACACACTGGGTTCCACTAAAAAATAAAAACCAACCTTAGTAACAATTTGGATAGACATTTCTATGATGAAGCAAGAGTCAATTCTAAGGTTAATGCTGTGAGATTCCCTTGGACATCATTTGGTAATTCAGGTTGGCTTGCTTTTGCTTGATGTTCTGCTGTATGACATGTACTTTTCTTGTTTTGGTTTCTGCCTGATAAAGACATTTCATTTTTTTACACAGATTACAAAGTATTATAACTTATTGTTCTAGCAAAGGGATTGCCACAATTGTATTATGTATATATATTTTTTACCACACAGACGTATAGAGCATTGTTTATTATCACTGTTCTAGCTAAGGGATTTTTTTAATTTTTTTTAAGGAATGCTTACGTTCATATTGATGTATTTTAATTAGGGCTGGGACTCGATTAAAAAAATTAATCTAATTAATTAGAGGCTTTGTAATTAATTAATTGAAATTAATCGCATTTTTAATCCCATATAAATATTTGACCTGAGAACAGTGAGAAGCAATTTTTTTCACATGGATTTTAGTATACCATTAGGCGCATTCACACCGCAGTACTTTTCCCACAAAGGTTCATGAGAATTTAGTTCATGAGAAATCTTTGAACCTGGGGGTGGATTAGGCAAATGAAGCCACTGACGTCACTTCTTCTTCTTCTGCTGCTTTGGTTTTACTGGCAGGCCGCAAACCACTTCACGGCGTATACTGCCGCCCAAAGTCCCCGGCCGGAAGTCCCCGGAGTTGGGGACTGGCTTCAGTAGAAGCTGCTGGGACTCCCAGCAGCCTTCCGAGTAAATCGCCAGAACGCCGACACCTCCTCATCTCCACCGCTCCCATGTTTTATTTTGTGTTGCCATAAGTTAGTCTCTCTGAGTTTCTGCGCTGGGCTAATGCTAATAATGCTAATGCGAGGATAATAAAATGGCGGCTTTACAAAACTTTTTGGGAGTTTTACGGGGCGTGGTTTGTAATCCGCCCAGCCAATCAGAAATATAGCTCTTTTCTCACAAGAGAGCCGTACGAAAGTCCCTGCTTTCGTGGGGGTAAAAAGGTTCTCATGAACTAATTTTAGTACCGGCTCTTTTTGGTGTGAACGCGATAAAAGAGGCTAACGTCCACACTAGCTTCCACGCTAGCTGCTATATGTTTTGCATTGAGGTGATACTTGAGGCTTGATGTGCTGCGGTGATATGCGAATTCCTTTTTGCATAATTTGCACACAACCGTGCTCTTATCGACGCTTCCATCCGTCCGTTTTTTAAAACAACATTTCCCACTGTTGTTCACTGTGGTTTGTTGTTATCTGAAGTCATGAACGTTAGTTGGTGCTCCAGTATAATCGGTACGCCTGAAACTCATCCAGTGAGAAACGTTCCGCGGTGCAAAAATAAGTGCGATTAAAATGCGTTAATTTTTTTAACGCGTTAATTTTTGTGTAATTAATTAATCTTAATTAACGCGTTAAAGTCCCGGCCCTAATTTTAATAAATGTTAACTTGGCCCATTACGTGACTATTTGTGTTGGGGGGGCCACTTTTTTATTTCTCCAAAGGGGGGGCCTGACAGAAAAAGTTTGAGAACCACTGCACTAGAATTAGATTGTGTCAAGGCACCCTAAATTCACGGGGTGTAGGGACTGACCTCTGAGGCTTCAAAGCAAGTTCAAGGAGAGTAGAACAGCTGTGTCTAATTAACACTGGGCATACATACCTGGCATCTTCTCTTGATTGACAACTTTCATCACGCTGCTCTCATCGTTCTCCTTTGTGATGGATTCCAGCTCTTTTGAAGCTACAAGAAACCACAGGCATAGTAAGCAAAACACACTGGGTTCCACTAAAAAATAAAAACCAACCTTAGTAACAATTTGGATAGACATTTCTATGATGAAGCAAGAGTCAATTCTAAAGTTAATGCTGTGAGATTCCCTTGGACATCATTTGGTAATTCAGGTTGGCTTGCTTTTGCTTGATGTTCTGCTGTATGACATGTACTTTTCTTGTTTGGTTTCTGCCTGATAAAGACATTTTCATTTTTTTGCACAGATTGCAAAGTATTATAACTTATTGTTCTAGCAAAGGGTTTGCACAATTGTATTATGTAATATATTTTTTACCCACACAGACGTATAGAGCATTGTTTTAATTATCACCTGTTCAAGCAAAAGTGATTTTGTTATTTTTTTGAAAGGAATGCTTACGTTTCATATTGATGTATTTTAATACATGTTAACTTGGCCCATTACGTGACTATTTGTGTGGTGGGGGCCACTTTTTTTTCTCCTCCAAAGGGGGGCCTGACAGAAAAAAGTTTAAGAACCACTGCACTAGAATTAGATGTGTCAAGGCACCCTAAATTCACGGGGTGAGGGACTGACCTCTGAGCTTCAAATCAAGTTCAAGGAGAGTAGAACAGCTGTGTCTAATTAACACTGGGGCATACATACCTGGCATCTTCTCTTGATTGACAACTTTCATCACGCTGCTCTCATCGTTCTCCTTTGTGATGGATTCCAGCTCTTTTGAAGCTACAAGAAACCACAGGCATAGTAAGCAAAAACACACTGGGTTCCACTCAAAAATAAAAACCAACCTTAGTAACAATTTGGATAGACATTTCTATGATGAAGCAAGAGTCAATTCTAAGGTTAATGCTGTGAGATTCCCTTGGACATCATTTGGTAATTCAGGTTGGCTTGCTTTTGCTTGATGTTCTGCTGTATGACATGTACTTTTCTTGTTTGGTTTCTGCCTGATAAAGACATTTTCATTTTTTTGCACAGATTGCAAAGTATTATAACTTATTGTTCTAGCAAAGGGTTTGCACAATTGTATTATGTATATATATTTTTTACCACACAGACGTATAGAGCATTGTTTTATTATCACTGTTCAAGCAAAGTGATTTTTTTATTTTTTTGAAAGGAATGCTTACGTTCATATTGATGTATTTTAATAAATGTTAACTTGGCCCATTACGTGACTATTTGTGTTGGGGGGGCCACTTTTTTTTTTCTCCAAAGGGGGGCCTGACAGAAAAAGTTTAAGAACCACTGCACTAGAATTAGATTGTGTCAAGGCACCCTAAATTCACGGGGTGTAGGGACTGACCTCTGAGGCTTCAAATCAAGTTCAAGGAGAGTAGAACAGCTGTGTCTAATTAACACTGGGCATACATACCTGGCATCTTCTCTTGATTGACAAACTTTCATCACGCTGCTCTCATCGTTCTCCTTTGTGATGGATTCCAGCTCTTTTGAAGCTACAAGAAACCACAGGCATAGTAAGCAAAACACACTGGGTTCCACTCAAAAATAAAAACCAACCTTAGTAACAATTTGGATAGACATTTCTATGATGAAGCAAGAGTCAATTCTAAGGTTAATGCTGTGAGATTCCCTTGGACATCATTTGGTAATTCAGGTAGGCTTGCTTTTGCTTGATGTTCTGCTGTATGACATGTACTTTTCTTGTTTGGTTTCTGCCTGATAAAGACATTTTCATTTTTTTGCACAGATTGCAAAGTATTATAACTTATTGTTCAAGCAAAGGGATTGTATTATGTATATATATTTTTTACCACACAGACGTATAGAGCATTGTTTTATTATCACTGTTCTAGCAAAGTGATTTTTTTTTTTTTTTTTGAAAGGAATGCTTACGTTCATATTGATGTATTTTAATAAATGTTGACTTGGCCCATTACGTGACTATTTGTGTTGGGGGGGGCCACTTTTTTTTTTTTCTCCAAAGGGGGGGCCTGACAGAAAAAGTTTAAGAACCACTGCACTAGAATTAGATTGTGTCAAGGCACCCTAAATTCACGGGTTGTAGGGACTGACCTCTGAGGCTTCAAAGCAAGTTCAAGGAGAGTAGAACAGCTGTGTCTAATTAACACTGGGCATACATACCTGGCATCTTCTCTTGATTGACAACTTTCATCACGCTGCTCTCATCGTTCTCCTTTGTGATGGATTCCAGCTCTTTTGAAGCTACAAGAAACCACAGGCATAGTAAGCAAAACACACTGGGTTCCACTAAAAAATAAAAACCAACCTTAGTAACAATTTGGATAGACATTTCTATGATGAAGCAAGAGTCAATTCTAAGGTTAATGCTGTGAGATTCCCTTGGACATCATTTGGTAATTCAGGTTGGCTTGCTTTTGCTTGATGTTCTGCTGTATGACATGTACTTTTCTTGTTTGGTTTCTGCCTGATAAAGACATTTTCATTTTTTTGCACAGATTGCAAAGTATTATAACTTATTGTTCTAGCAAAGGGTTTGCACAATTGTATTATGTATATATATTTTTTACCACACAGACGTATAGAGCATTGTTTTATTATCACTGTTCAAGCAAAGTGATTTTTTTATTTTTTTGAAAGGAATGCTTACGTTCATATTGATGTATTTTAATAAATGTTAACTTGGCCCATTACGTGACTATTTGTGTTGGGGGGGCCACTTTTTTATTTCTCCAAAGGGGGGGCCTGACAGAAAAAGTTTGAGAACCACTGCACTAGAATTAGATTGTGTCAAGGCACCCTAAATTCACGGGGTGTAGGGACTGACCTCTGAGGCTTCAAATCAAGTTCAAGGGGAGTAGAACAGCTGTGTCTAATTAACACTGGGCATACATACCTGGCATCTTCTCTTGATTGACAATTGTCATCGAGCTGCAGTCATCTTTCTCCTTTGGAGTGGATTCCAAAGCCTTTAAAACTACAAGCAACCACAGGCACTATTAGTAAAACATTCTGTCTTCTGAAAAATACAAATAAAAACCAACCTTGGTAAGTAGTTATCAGTTTGGTTAGACATTTCTAAGATGAAGCAGAGTACATGCTAAGGTTAAGGTGTTAAGGGTTAAAGCTTTGCTTTGTGACACCCGGGCCCGGTTCCAGAACAAAATGACTCGGGGTGCATCTGAGATTAGAGAGGGTGCAGTGGTAAAGTGCTATTTTTATAAGTGGGGAGTGGACCTAACACCCTCTAGGGGGGTCCTCACCTCCTCTATAGGGGTTCGAGGGCATGCTCCCGGGAAGATTTTTTTTTAAATATTGAAGTTAAAAGCATCAATCTGGTGCACTTTGAGAGCAAAATGAAGAGATGGATACATCTCTCAACACCCATATGAAACAGAACTGTAAACAGATTTACTTTTTCTTTATGAATATTTTACAAATCACTCCCCTTTTAAGACCGAAATGTCTACATGCATAGCAGAAGATGGCAACACACACACACACACACACACACACACACACACACACACACACACACACACACACACACACACACACACACACACACACACACACACACACACACACACACACACACACACACACACACACACACACACACACACACACACACACACACACACACACACACACACACACACACACACACACACACACACACACACACACACACACACACACACACACACACACACACACACACACACACACACACACACACACCCACACACACACACACACACACACACACACACACACACACACACACACACACACACACACAGTGAGCTGGCTCACTGGTGTGGGGTCGGCGAGACACCGCAGAACTCAGCCTGGGCACACACATAAACTCCCAGCCAGGCTGCGGGTGTGTGTGTGTGCCCAGGCTGAGTTCCGCGGTGTCTCGCAGACGGCCACTGGGCTCACAGGGAGGGGGGGCAGGAGCTCCAACAAGCCGTTTAGGACAGAGAGTGAATACACATATACAGAGATGCTGTATGTGAAACCAATGTGAGTTTGTAAAATTGGACAATATAAATCTATTCTAGTAGACCTCAACAATGGAATTATGATCAGTAGAAATGGCCATGACATGAGACCTTTAAAAAATGAAGAGATTCCTTAGCACTACAGGTTTCCTCTAGGAGCAGAACTGTTTTTACCACCGTGCAGTTTGACCAGTCCACCGACCCCCTACTGAATACACATTGGCAGTCAAACATTAGAGATTTTAATGCCTGATAAAGGTCATAAAACGGCAGCTGGATCATTCCTAGCATTCGGTGCCATTTAGGTCCCCAACACATTATATCATATATTTTGTATTTAAAATGTCCAGTGTTGGGATTAACGCGTTACAAAGTACGCCGTTATTTTTGGCAGTAACTAGTACTCTACCGCATTACTTTTTAAATTCAGTAACTCAGTTAACGTTACTACATGGTGCGTTACTCCGTTAGTTTTTTTATATAGTCAACAGCCAGGCGAACAGAGATGAGAATTGTACTTAAGTACATGTACTTAGATACTTCCTGTGTCACATGCCGAGACGCGCTGTGGGCGTGTTTGTGTTGTTTACTAACAAGACTATCATGGCGGCGGCGGAGCTCAAGTCTAGTTTCTCCACCTGGAGATATTCTCACTATTTCACTTTTGTCGAGCACAAAGAAAAGAAAGTTTCTGTTAAATGTAAGTTGTGTCCTGGCGGGTCAAAGAGCCTATCTACTGCCCAAACCAGTAATTCAAATCTCTTAAAACATCTGCAAAAACAACATGCTGGGACGAAGCTAGTAACTAAGACCGGCACAAACCCAGACTCAGCCGACGCCACTCCACCTCCACCTAAGCAACAGCGGCTGGATTTTAACCAAGGGACTGCTAGCCAGGGAAAAGTCGATAAAGCCATTGCACGGTATGTTGTAGAACACATGCAGGCTATTGCTACAGTGGAGTCACCCGCTTTCAGGGAGCTAGTTAGCATGATACCATGACCGGGCGGCACACGGCATATGGAACGGAAAACTTTTTCCAACTACCTGGAGAAAGAATATACAAAATTGAAAGCCAGCTAATATCGATGCAATCCAGATTGCATATAATGCACGTCAAGTTGATCAACAGATTGTATTATTCTCCAATGCAATAACAGTGCTGAAATGAAGGCTATAAGGGCATTAACGGGAGCCCTTTTTTTAAGTAACTAAAGTTACTTTTCACAGTAACGCATTACCTTTTGGTGTAAGTAATCAGTAAAGTAACGGAGTTACTTTTGAAATGAAGTAACTAGTAATGGTAACTAGTTACTGGTTTTCAGTAACTAGCACAACACTGAAAATGTCTAATGCTTATTTTTTTTAAAGCTTGGTTTTAAATGTGTATCCCCCTCTACCATAAAACAACAATGTTATTTAACCAGGATATTCAAAATTCTAAATAATTACTCTGATTTTAGGACAAGTAGGCCAAATTGCTGTGTCATGTTTGCTCAACTTCTGTAACGGATATAAAAAAAGAAATCAAAGAAATTCTACATTTTTGTCACTGTTGTATAACCCTTTTGCTAATATTCCTCACCAAATTAGATTTGTTGTTATTAATTCATTTGTATTGTTTAAAGTTTAAAAAAAGTGTGTGTCCCCTGTTTGAATGTCCCCCCTGTTACTCTGATTTTAATCCCTCTGGACACACCCCTTTACCATTCTACTATTTGTATGACTCAAGAAGTCATGTTTCGTTATTCATTAAGGTCACACAGGAAAAAGGGGCCCGATGCTTAGGTTAAAACTATGTGTATACATTTAGTCTTAACAGTTGTATACATTAGCATGTGTGGTAGCTGCTAAATAAAGTCATGAAATCTGGGATCATGTAAAACTCAGAGGATGCAACATATCACTGCATAAGGTTTGAACATCTCTGCCACGTATGCTGTTTCAAGTGTATGTTCGTGTGTGTTTTACATGTATAAAGCACATGAGATCTTTCTGGTCTGGAGGGCATTTCCACGATTGGCTGCTGTGGCAGGAGGTGATGTACTCCAGATTATTATTGTTGTTGCGCAACTGAATAATAATTAATCTCAACCATGTCTGTGTTTGTGTTTTATTGATCTCTCTCCGTGTTAACATTTAAGGTTGGTGAGCCATAAATTGCACCAACACATTCTTCCTTCAACGTTTTTATAATGTTTTTTAAAGAACTTAACTGTTGCGGTAAAGCATAACATGTCCACACTGTTATATTCATTTTAGTGGAAAATTATCATTTGTTTTACATTTAGAAAATATGTGGAATATATCTATCGCATATATGTTTCTGTTGTCAACAAGTGCTAGCTTGATTATCATCACACATGTAGCAATAGCCAAGTTTAGCATAAAATGTCCACCCCGTTACTATTTTTCATATTAACAGGGTGGACACAGTAACTGGGGATGTTAACATTTTAAAAATGTAAACATAATATCCTGAGCTTGACCAAAATATTTTTCTTATACTTTAACAAGCCATCATTCAGATTAAATAAAAAAAACATGGAAAATTATGTTTTTGATTTTTGATTAACCTAGCTGAAATGGTACCGAATGCTAGGAATGGCTCAGCTGGTGTTGAAGGCCAAGCTGGATTCTGTGCCCGATTCATCTTGCATGTAGATGCTGGGAATGTTTGAAACCCAGATCAGGGGGAGTAGAACAGCTGTTATCCGTTGTCTATCAACACTGTGTATGTGTATAGCTATAGAGTGGTGCAGAGATGACGTATTTACCCGGGAGTAAGCTGCGCATGGGTTCCCTCGACAAAAAAGCAATGGGATTTCTCCATAGGATTTTGGAAAAGAGCTCGAAATAAGGTCTGTGGAAAACAAACCTGTTAGATAAATGCACGTTTTATTCAGCCGGATAATCTCCACATGTCTACTAGGGCTGTGCATCTTCACTGGTCTCACGATTCGATTACGATTATCCTGTCAACGATTCGATTCAATATCCCGATGCATCACGATTCATACCAATGCGTTGCATCCTCAATTTTCTATATTACTGCACATGGCTTATTTTTCATCAATGCATACATGCAGTAAATACATATGAACTCTCTTTTTATTATTTAGAAAGTGCTTCAGAAATCAATAACATAAATGTCTTGACATTCATTTATAAACCAAAATAAATGAATTGTATAGGTCTAGCCTCCCTATATCTGTGTGTGAAGTTGTTCCATCCTCAAAAACAAAAAAAAGAATGCTTCTGCAGTCTAGCTGCAGCTTCTAGCAACGGCCTTCTGTTAAAAAAAGGACACTGAATGTCCTGAATGTGGCACTCCCTGTTTCCACCGACCATCTCTCTCATTCTCTTTCAAGTTTCACACTTCCCTCTGCTGTTGTAATATCTGACCTCATCAGTAAATCCAAGCCATCTACCTGTCAGTTAGACCCTCTTCCTACCCCCCTGGTAAAAGCCTGTCTACCTTCATTGTCCTCCCTTATTACTGTCATCATACATTCCTCCCTCACCTCTGGTCTTGTTCCCTCACTTTTCAAATCAGCCGCCATCACGCCCATACTGAAGAAACCTGGTGCAGACCCCAACAACTTTAATAACTACCGTCCCATATCTAACCTACCATTTCTCTCAAAAATCCTGGAAAAAACTGTTGCATCCCAAATCCATACCCACTTGTCTGACAATAACCTGTATGAACAATTTCAATCTGGTTTCCGCCCCCATCACAGCACAGAAACAGCACTGGTGAAAATCACTAACGACCTCCTCATGGCAGCTGACTCCGGACTACTAACTATCCTCATCCTCCTTGATCTTAGTGCAGCTTTTGACACCATTTCCCACAGCATCCTCATTGACAGACTGACCTCCATCGGGATCACTGACACACCCCTCCTCTGGTTTAAATCATATCTCTCTGGCCGCACTCAGTTCATCCAACTCAAAACCTTCAAATCACAGCCACTTCCAGTCACAACCGGTGTTCCCCAGGGCTCTGTCCTGGGGCCTCTTCTTTTTATCATCTATTTACTTCCTCTTGGCAATATCTTCCGTAAACACAACATCCACTTTCATTATTACGCGGATGACACCCAGCTCTACTTGTCCTCCAAACCAACCACCATCCTCCCTCCATCCTCCCTGTCTGACTGCTTACAGGACATCAAATCCTGGTTTTCCTCTAACTTTCTCAAACTTAACGACAGACAACCGAGGTTCTCCTCATTGGCTCAAAATCCACCCTAACCAAACCTGACAGTTTCTCAATTACTATAGACAACACTTCAGTCTCCCCCTCCCCTCAGGTTAAGAGTCTGGGTGTCATCCTCGACGGCACACTTTCATTCAAATCTCACATCAGTAATATCACTCGGTCTGCCTATTTCCATCTACGCAACATCAACCGCCTCCGGCCGTCCCTTAACCCTAAGACCACCGCCATTCTTGTTCACACCCTGGTCACTTCCCGCATCGACTACTGCAACTCCCTTCTCTTTGGTCTCCCTCTCAAATCCATCCACAGACTTCAACTGGTTCAGAACTCTGCCGCCCGCATCATCACCAGAACCCCCTCCATTAACCACATCACTCCTGTTCTTCAGCAACTTCACTGGCTCCCCGTCAAATCCTGTATCGTTTTTAAGATTCTGCTCCTCGCCTTTAAGGCCATCCATAACCTCACTCCTCTGTACCTCTCCGACCTCCTGCACATCAACACACCCATCCGCACTCTCAGGTCTTCTGCTTCCCTCAGCCTCACTGCACCCCCCTTCCGTTTAACCACCATGGGGTCTAGAGCCTTCAGCCGCTCTGCACCCCGCCTCTGGAACTCCCTCCCACCTGACATCCGCAACACTGACTCTCTCCCCATTTTCAAATCACGCCTCAAAACATATCTCTTCACACTCGCATATCCACCCTGATCATTATCCATCACACATCCTCTGTTTTATTTATTTGATTTGTTGCATTGTCTTGTTTATGTTTCTTATGCTGGTGTTAGGTATTGTGTATCTTGTTTTTTTATGTGTTTGTACGGCGACCTTGAGAGCCTTGAAAGGCGCCTATATAAAATAAATGAATTATTATTATTATTATTATTATTATTATCACACACAGGACTTGAGTCTGAACACAGCAGACAACAGGAGTATTTACAACAGCATATAACAACTAAAATACTGCATGTGGGTGCACACTTACATTCTCTGTCTTACTGTTACATAAATCCCATGAATGTAGGAGATTAAGTTAGCTTCATTATATCTCAGTGATTAAGTGAATAATAAAGTTTCTATCGGGTCACTATCAGCCTGTCACTCATTATTTTCAGGGGGGGCGGGGCTTAGAGGAACAGAGGAGACGGTGATCGCGGAAGCTTATTTCCTCCTGCCTTCACAAACTTTACACACGTACGTATATATCGTCTGAAAATTGCTAGAGGACATTCATACTTTGCAATCCAAGACTTAATTAAATCCACCAAAAACCTGACATGATTGTAACGCGATTATTTTTGAAAAACATAAATCCCTGTGTCTCTGTGCCGCAGCGACACGGAGTGATTCAGAGCGGGTCCTTCAGGCTGTTGGTTCTGGACTGGTGTTCTTGTGTTGGTGGATAAAGCAGACTGCTCCGTGTTTGGTGTTGCTGTGCCGCTGTCACGTCTGTTCCCTGATCTCTGCGTCACCGACCGATTTGATATTAAAGTGACAGAAAAAAAAAAACGTTATAGTAAAGCCGCGGCAGGAAAATCAGGAAGCAATGTTACTACGCTATAACCGATTATCTTCCGTCACTGCATCGAGACCGAATCGTCCACGTCCGCATCGCAATGCATCGTAGAAACGATTATTTTCAACACCCCTAATGTCTACCCTACTTTTATAATCATAAATCTAAATCGCCAGAAGCAAAATGTTAACGTTATGCTATAAAGGAACTACAGCAGGGTTGCACGAATTCAACGTCACGCCAACTTAAGATCGATATTCAAAAATACAGATTCTAAATTGTACAAGTTGAAGCGTTTGTTTTAACAGTTTGCAAGACCTGCAGGTACTTGCTTTCAAGCCGAACAGGGGCAAACAAATTTAGCGGCAGTGTTTACGTGTTCGGCGTAATGACGTACAACGTCCTCCACAACTTCTGTAGTCCTAATCAGCCACTTGTTAACAACCATCGTTTTTCAGACACGTAAGCTCTTCAAAAATCCCCAGTGGGGTCACTGCTGATGTATTTAATGTCGTAGAACAAAATGTGATCTGTCTCTTCAATTTGTGTGAAACACAGACCTTATTTCCAGCTATTTTGAAAAATCCTATGGAGAAATCCCATTGACTGAGAGGAGGGAACCGGAAGTGGGAAAATGCTGACTCACTTCCGGGTTTTAGGACTCGTTCCTGCACCACTCTATTATACACACCACGCTAAAAACCATTAAACAGAGATGTTGAGAAAATGTTGTAATAGTTTAGCTATTGTAGGACAGCAAAGGGACCACAATATAGATTTCACTTCAATACATACCCAGCTTCTTCCCTGGTTTGACAATCGTCATCAAGCTGCTCCCATTGTTTTCCTTTGTGATCGATTCCAACTCCTTTAAAGCTACATACAACCACAGGCACAATTAATAAAACATTATGGGTTCCACTAAAAAAATTAAATAAATACCAACCTTCTGTATAAGAGGTGAAATCCACTGATGCGAATTTGGCAGGCTCCAGGATCACTTGCTGTAACAGGAAGTCATAAAGTTTCACCAGAGTATGAACAAAAGCATCCGTTTGGAAATATGAACAAGATAATCAACTTCATTACCTTTATATCCATGTTTGCAGTACCATGAATTTCCTCTGCCTGCTTTGCAAAATTAAGCATCAGGGAGCCAAAGTCTTTTGTGTAAGTGTTGAAATAAGCGTTCAACGACAAAGTTGAAGGGTGCCACGCTTTCTGCAGAGAATAAAACTTTAATGAAGACAAACAATAATGATAGACTCTCAACAACCATGTTCTTTTGCCAAATTAGACATCAGCATTTATTTCATGTATATTAACTTTGCGTCAGAGGCACTTACAAAGTAAGAAAAGATGTGGTCAAAGCTCAGAACGTGTTTGATGATCCCTTGGGGGGTCAAAGTTATGTTGCAGAGCGTGCAGAGGTAGTATCTCTTCTCCGTTTGCCCGACACAAATGCACTCAATGAGGTGCTGCATGCCTAAAAGACAATGATCAACAACAAAAAAAAGGGGGGGAACAAGTTTGAATTTTATCTTATGGATTAGAGTAGTAATTTGATTCTAGAAGACTGCATACGACAGCTGTAAAGAGACTACCTTTTTCCATTAAGGAAGTTAACAGTGGAATTTTTCTGAAACATTTACTGACCAAGAAGTGGATGTTCCCTTTTGCTGTCTTTTAGGTATGTTTGTATTGTCATCCTCTCTTTCTTGAAAACTGGGGGGAGAGGAAGATATTTCAGTGATAAAAAAAACTGGAAAGCTGGAGTAAATACACACAGTACAAACAGATGCAAATATTCAGTATATTGAGATATCAGAACTAAACTATATCCAGAAAAGCTACAAAATGTGTCACCATTATACATATTATAAAGATTGAGTGATTATTACAGGTAAAACAAACAAATGTCTGCTGCTTTGATTACGTATAACAGAATGACAATGCATTGCTTCATTTTAATAATGGAGTCCTAAGAATAAATGTGCATACACACCTTCATGCATCTTGGGAAGCTTCTCAATTTCACTGAGCGTGCGAGCCACTGGAGAGTAGGATCAGATCAATTTCAATAATGTACAATTGAATAGATTTTTCAAATATGATATAACTATAAGACATCTAACAATCATATACCCTCTGAGTAATTGCTTTTTTCCACTTGTTTAAACAGTTCTCCAGGCAATTCCAACAGCTGCAAAGAGAAAATGTCAAATCAATCAAACATGACGTCAATCAAACAAATCTTGACGCAAAAAATCTTTGAAGTTATCGAGTTACTCGGCTGCTTAAATATAAAAAAATACATTTAGTTATATGATTGCAGGCCTTAAGCTACAGACCTGTAGGTCTCCAATCGTGCTTTCCTCATCGTTTCCACCCTCTCTCAACTCAGACCTCAGGAAGTATTTATTTGGATTTTCAGGCATCCAGGAGAAACTCAGTGCGTTGGGGTTTATGTAGCTCTGAAATACAAAATACAATTAAATGTATGCTTCCAAATTCTAAACATATTTGCATATTTTTGTAATGATGATCCGCACTTACAAAGTTGTTTCTGTGGTGGTCCATTGAAGTGATGTGCGATAAAATCCTCATTGATAGAAACTTTTCCTCACAGACATGGCACATGTAAAAATATGTTTTTGACTTTCGACTGAAACACAACGATAGGCCTGGAAAAAAGCACATTTAAAACTGAACAATTACTCTGATAGAAATTATTATATCTGAGTTTTCTGCAGCTGATTTTTATTCAAGTGGAGCGCTGTGTAGACAGGCGCAGGATGATGGTGAGATAGCGATAGACGCTACACCTTGGGGTTCGAACTTCTACCCTTTTGGTAATTTCTAACTGAACTTGTGTTTTCCTCCACTTAGCCTTTAGCTGAACTTTTGTTTTCCTCTGTAGCGGTCTGTTTTTATTTCCTCTTTTAAAAAGGTGAAACGGTCAAGACAGTCTATTTTTGTTTTCCGGACAGTCAGACCTTAGCCTCTTGTCTCTCAGATGTTCAGCAACAAATAATATACTTTTTGGGATACATTTTTTTTTATAAATATTGGCCTAAACACAAACATGGAAAATAAATAGCATCATTTATCGACTTCAACTATGTTAAGGTATTCAATCCTGTGTATGGCAAGCCGATTTAGCTTTTATTCATTTTTGGAGGATATCAAAAAATCTATTCTTACTAGTAAGAATGAGAATTCTTGATATCAAAAATGCAATTCTTAGGAGTAATAATGTTTATTTCTGATATCAAAAATAGAATTGTAACTAGTTAGAATGCAAATTCTTGATAACAGAAATTCAATTGTAACTAGTGAGGTTTGCATAGTTTCTCATTCATTTCAATGGGAGTTGGAATTTTAACTAGTCTAAATGCCAATTGCTGATATCAGTAATTCAATTGTTGATATCAGAAATATAATTTGAACTAGTTCAAAAACATTTTTTTTGATATCAGGAATTCAATTGTAACTAGTTATAAATAAAAATTGAATTAAACTAGTTACAATTGATATCAAAAAAGGATTTTTGAACTAGTTCAAATTGTATTTCTGTTTATCTGTTATAATTGGCATTGCGACTAGTTGAAATGTAATTCTTGATATCAGAAATTAGTATTTTTACTAGTTAAAATGTAATTGCAACTAGTAACAATTGAATTACTGATATCAGAAATTGGCATTTGAACTAGTTTAAATTCCAACTCCCATTGAAATGAATGAGAAAAGCGATGCAAATCTCACTAGTTAAAATCGCATTTCTGATATCAGAAATACACATTACAACTAGTTACAATTGAATTTCTGATATCAGAAATACACATTACAACTAGTTACAATTGAATTTCTGATATCAATAATTTGCATTCTAACTAGTTAAAATTGATTTTTTGATATCCTCCAGAAATGAATAAAAGCTAAATCGGCTTGCCATACCTGTGTCAGCATTGGTTATAAATAGAGTTGGGAACCGAAACTCGGTTCCAGATGAGAACCGATAAGAAAATGCCGGGTACCCATACAAAATACACAATTTCGGTTCTGCTTAACGGTTCCTAAAGCCGGTAGACCCTGTATTCCACCAGGTCCGTCTGCGCCGCGGTGACCCGGTGGAATACAGGGTAAGGGGCGGACTTGCCATCTGTGTGTTCTGGAGAATCACAGAACGGCCGGTCGTCAGCGGGCCGTTGACGGCCGGCTCGGTACGCTGACGGCCGGCACCGCCCTTAATTTTTAAAAACGGCATCATGTACGTTGCGCTGACAGGCGACAGTGGTCCACAGTTTCCCTGCAGCGAGGCTCCCCCCGCCCTCCCGTAGACAGTTCACGAGCTCAGTCACTTCATAACACCAAAGATGGATCGCGGTAAACGCTCTAAAGTGTGGCTCCACTACACTAAAAAAGAAAAAGACAAGGCAGTGTAATGCCCGTTAATAGCTTGCCACAGGCATAGCTCAGTTAAAATTAGGGATGCACCGAATATTCGGCCACCGAAAATTATCGGCCGAAAATGGTTAAAAAGGCCCTTTCGGCCGAAAGGGTTTTAGCACCGAAAAAATATCACCGAATGTCAGAACAGGCTTACGTTGGTAATCTAACGTGTTGTTGTGATGACGTAATAAAGACGCGGCGACCATGCTCGCGGCTGGCTCACAGGGGGGGGGGGGGGGGGGGGGGAACATTGACCTTTGTCATCGAGATTGCCCTGAGCCTTTAACAAATCGTATTAAATAATCTGATGACAGACTGTAAACAGAATAGCTGACATTTTAACAAACTAAATAACTCAGTTTCCTCTAATCATTAACCCATGTTTGTATAATGTAGTTAACTCCGTGTGTTGCTGCTAGCATACATAACACCTGACGTGGAAACGTTACTCGTGGATGGTGCTACAGGGCTGCTAGAAAGACGGTCGAACCCGGTACATTCCTCCGTCTGCATGCGGTGCACTTTTGCTAAATGTTTAGACAAATTGCTCGTGCTTACATGCTAAACTCTTATTGCACTTATGGTAACAAGTATTCTCCACATCGAGACGGGTAAAGTTTAACCACACCTCGGAGCGCGTTCTCTCCGCCATCTCCGCAGTGTGCTCCGCTGCATGTAGCAGCTGCGTGTGTGTAAACTGCCCCGCCCCCTCGCACACAGACCGGGGAGAGAGATCTCGTCTGATCGAAAATACATCATAGACGCATTTGTTGTCTTTGCATATTAGAAACGAGTTGGCGACACTAAGACTGCGATATAATGTTTTTTAGCAATAATACATGACATACATTGATTGATTGATATATAAATGTACTGTATGCATTCAAAAGTGCTGAATAAATGTTTTATGGACCCATAATAGTGATTATTATTTAAGTTAAGTTAAGTTAAGTTTTGCCATAATCATGTCTATTTCCATAATCAGGTAGCTGAACAACATTGGTAAAAAATGTATACATTATATATATATATATATATCTATATATATATAGAAATATATATCTATATATATATAGAAATATATATATATATATATATATATATATATATATATATATATTTCTATTAATCATTTTCGGCCTTTCGGCATTCGGCCAACTGTTTCCTATTTTCGGTATCGGTTTCGGCCAAGAATTTCCCATTCGGTGCACCCCTAGTTAAAATAAAGCACAGCTATTGTGCAATACATTTGTATTGCATGTATATTTTTTATTTGAAAAAATGTCAGTTAAAGCTTAAAAGAATAAAGATATTTTTGTTATCTAAACGTTTGACCTCTTTCTTTTACAATTTTGGAATCGAAACAGGGAATCGTTAAGAACCGGAATCGATAAGCAGAACCGATACATTTCAAACGATACCCATCCCTAGTTATAAAGACTCTGCTCTTAGGTAGAATGCAAAATCAATTTGTTTCTGGATTTATATAAAATGCAACATTTAGTGAGACTTAAAATAATAAACGGAAATGTTACAACATGTAATTCATGTGCGTTGTTTCTCATCTTATTGCCATCACTCATTCCAACTCTGCTGCAATAAAGGCCTGGTTTGTCTAATGTTGGGATGTATGAGAAAAAATGTTAATCCAATCCAATCCACTTTATTTATAGAGCACATTTTAAAAACAGAGGGTTTGCCAAAGTGCTTCACAATGAACATAACATTATAATAAAATATAATATTACAAGAATAGATAAAAGGCACACATAAGAATAAATACAAGGCACATAAAGGCTATGGACAGACAAAAAAAGCATAAAAATCGATAAAACATAGCTCAGACTGACTCGAAAGCGAGGGAAAAGAGGTGGGTCTTTAGGCGGGACTTAAAAGCCTGAAAAGTGGGTGACAATTTGACATGGGGGGGCAGGTCGTTCCTGCTTAAAAATGTAATTACAAACCAACTTAGAGATACTTTACTGACCTATGATGGGCCATGTGATTTCACGTCTGACTCGCGACTTGATCAACTCAATGAAGGGAAAGATGCCTGTAGAGTAAACATTACAATGGAAGAAAAGAGGATTAGACTTTAGATTTTTATGAAAGCCAACATAAAAATCAAAAAGTAAAAGAAAAAGACAGATTGAAGTTAATTGGCAGTGACATTGAAATGTTTTAATAAATCTGTGTGTTTTACATTATTTAAGTCAATAAAACAAAATCAGCTCAAGGTTTCAGTATGCTTACACAATTTATTTACAAAAAGGAAGAAAGAACAAAAGGCTTACCATGACCCTTGAACATATCTAAAAAGAAGTTAACAAGACAAAAAAGGTTAATCTACTGCACAGAAAGTCTGAGCGACACATTCTCTAAAGCAGGTTACAAGAAAAGGGACCCCTTAACAGCCATTTGACCTGGGGGCAGTGCATTTCATATCTAATTGGATAAGTTAGTAAACTGTTACATTATTGTTTCTTTAAGCTAATCTTTAACCTAACCCCAAGAATAATTTACAGGAGACCTCAACTTTTTTGCAACTTAAAACTTTATATTTTTTCATTACATTTAGTTTATCTTGTATCCAAAGCAAATTACCATACATGCAATAAAACACTAGGATATAAACAACAACAACAAAAATGCTGATACAAAAACCATTCAGTGCTATTTTTTCCCACTGCGTCCAGAGTTCGCTGCAGATTTTCAAATAACTTTTACTGGACTGCTGATAAATTATCAAATGAACAGCAAAACAGTATACTGGAAATAAAGCTAATGCTAAAATAAATTCACATTTAAGATTGACTAAGTAGTATCTTGTATCAATAGATGCCAATCTTATGTCGTTTGCTTTTATTATTCAGCTAGTTTGTCCAGTTTTCCAAGCTTTAGCATTACAATGATCCCATGCAAGCTCAAACTCAAAGTCTCATTTCCAAACAATTGTCATTACTTTTTGTTCTGCATTTTTACAAGAGCGCACACAAGACGTGCACTCAGAACATAAGTTTTCCCAACAAAAGAAAAAGGAAATACCTTGCTGGAAGACCTCAATCATTTTCTGTTGGTAAAGAACAAAGAAACATGTAGAGGTTTATAAAAGCAGATAGAAACAGGAATATGGAAAACTGCAGTAACAAAAATCTAAAATAGGACCCACATATCAATGCTGTTCATGAGACAGATAAACACTTTTAAGGGTGTTTGCACTCTTTGCCCTTTCTTGTGTTGTGGAAATTATTATGGTAAAATGCTCATATGCTTGTCAGCTTTAATGAAGTATAGGCAAAACAATGATCATTTAAATTCCCTCTGCAGATGCCATCAGAAGTGAAACGGTGCATGTGGACCAGTAGAAGATTTGAGAGTAAATCCAATCCCCCACGTAAGAAAAAATTACACACACACACACACACACACACACACACACACACACACACACACACACACACACACACACACACACACACACACACACACACACACACACACACACACACACACACACACACACACCACACACACACACACACACACACACCACACACACACACACACACACACACACACACACACACACACACACACACACACACACACACAACACACACACACACACACACACACACACACACACCACACACCACACACACAACACACACACACACACACACACACACACCACACACACACACACCACACACATCACACCACACACACCACTTTTTTTTTTAGCCAACACGAAAACTGCATTATCTCCTAGTTAAGTGTATTGGTCAATGGTACAGAATGAGAATCAACCAAGTGAAGGTGTTCCTAAAGTTGAATGCCCACCTGTACATGTCCATGTGAGTGAATATGGGTCTTCAAATCAAGCATGTAGTTAGATGTGGTGAGGCAGACCTAGAAGAAGAAGGTGCATCATTAACATGAAATAGAAGAAGGGACAGAAAAAGGGATAGAGTTTTGTACGGGACAACAGGAAACCTTCAACAGTTCAACTTTACACTTTGATTCTTATCTATTAATATTTTTCCAGTGAAACATCGGGCAACAGATGAGGAAAGAGGGAGTTTGGTGGAAGGCTGGTTTGTCCTGAATTTATGTTTTGGTTTAACCCTTGTGCCCTCCTGGAATGTTCATCCTTTCGACACCTTCGTGACAAAAATGTACACGCCCCAAACAAATGCTATTGAATCATCATACATCAATATTTGTTTCCACTTTTCTTTTCATTAATCACTTAAACAACTTCTAACGTACTCAAAACTACCAAACATTCAACCATTTTCTGGATTTTAACCCTTTAAATGCCTGGTTCTTTATTTGAATTATCTCATTATTTATGACAAAAAAACATAAAAAATGAAAAATATGTCCATATAATAATTAGTAGGGGGATGGAACTTTGGTGGTTAGAGGCTTGGATATGTCAAAGATTAGCAACAAAATTGATTTGACTGCATTATTATTTTTTACGTAGTGTCAGATACTACCTCTGGACACCTTCGTGGCCAAAAATGCCTCATTGACTTCCATTCAAACCACATTTTTTGATCTCACTCCCATTGCAGTATAAAACCATGCATTTTTGTAATGTCAGCATTTAATTTAGAAGAAAAGTAGTGATATTTGATATGTCTACTCTATTCCACCAGATTCAACCATTTTCCCACTGTAGGCCGATGCATGAAATTCTTACATTTTTGCCAGTTATATTATGGAGCCGTGTGACTAACAGGGGGGTCCCGAGAGTGGTGTGTGTGTGTGTGTGTGTGTGTGTGTGTATGTGTATATATATATGTGTGTGTGTGTCATTGCCAGCAGCAGACCGGCAGGTCCTGCAGCATATGACCTGGGGCTCTCTCAGGTGGTAGAACAACTATTTTTTACACCGCTGCTATGACTCCATCCTAGGGGAAACACTGTAATTACTGGGCAAATCTACAGGGCCATAAAGATACTCACCCTACTAAACAAACTGTAAAAACAAGTTGGGAAAGTAACAAAATTAAAAAAGAAAGTTGTTGTGTTAGTGTTTCGGAATTATGTAAGGAATTAAAAGTTAAAGAATGGAATATTAGTCCGATGGTGTTGTTATCGGCTGTTGCACCATGGTTGCTACCTCAACCAATAGTAGATTTATCCTTATTGAAACGGTTACATTCAATGAAAAGTCAAATCAATGTGCAGGCTTATGTGAACACTGTTCTACATGAACAATATGGGCAGTTTATACAAATATTTACTGATGGATCCAAAAATCCAGAAAATGGTCAAACTAGTTGTGCATTTTATGTTCCTGAATTAAAAGGTCAAAGTGGGAAAGCGAACGAGTGATCAAATCGCAGTATATACAGTAGAGATGATGGCTATCTCACTAGCACTTCAGTGGGTAGAGGAAAGGAGAGGAGAGTATAAACAACTTCTCTTCAGAATGTCGTCAGGATATTTTATATGAAATTTTACACATCATGTTTAGGTAAGTTCATTTGGGAATTGTTGTTCAATTTGTGTGGGTTCCAGCGCATGTGGGTATTAGAGGGAATGAGGTAGTGGATCAACTGGCAAAATGTGGTTTGAAAGCAAACCAGATTGATATTATGGTACCCATTAGTAGAGCAGAAGTCAAATCTGTTACAAAAGTTGTTATCAAGCAACAATGGCAAAAACTATGGGACAGTAACACTGAAGGAAGACATTTATACCAGGGGAAGTAGGAACGGGAAGCACTTGGGGAGTAGTAGAAGAGAACAGAGCATTAACAGCAGGATAAAATTGGGTCACTGGATCAAATTCAACAATGCATCTGATTGGAAACCATCCAAATGGCAATTGTGATGGTTGCCAACAACCAGAGGCAATACATCATGTATTTTTTAGCTGCCCGGATTATAACAGACAAACGGCCCGTCTACACTACAGGCATCGAAAAATGCTTTCAACGCTTCGCCCATTCACTTGAATGGGGTGACGTAGTAGATTTGGAATCTTCGCCGAACTGCATTGTGGGGAGCGGAGCGTGGCTTTGCAAGCATCGCGAGCATCAAAAGTTGAGCAATGTTCAACTTTTGAGGCTCGATGCTTGGCATCAGCCAATCAAATCCCGTTTATGCAAATCCCGCAGAGCCAGACCGCAGTTCATTTCCTCATATTCCAAACGAGAAATTACGGTAGCAAATCACCCGGTTCTTTACGACCAGAACTATTTACCGGGATACAAACCGGAGGAACCAGGCATGGAGGGAGGTGGCAGAGACAGTGGGTGAAACTGGTAGGTTTTCGTCTGTTTGGGGATTTTATATCCAGTTTACTTCGTTTTAATATTGCTATTGCTTTGTATGTCGGGGGCGGGAGATTCATGTGATTGGTTGTTGGTAGCCTTGGGCGCGAGAAATCGCCAAGCCTCAGACACGCCCAGCTTCAAGATTTGTTGATGCCTGTAGTGTAGACGGGCCGAAAGACTCATTCTGAAAACTGCACTGGAACAACATAACATCAAGGACATGGATTTCGAGTCAATATACGAAAGTAAATCAAGAAATGAACTAAACAAGCTGATCTTCAAGTTCCTCAAAAACACTGGTCTGAGGACAAGGATGTAATATGAACATTTCATATATCAACAGTAGGTGGCGATATATGCTCCAAGTGGAAGCGATTCGCCATTAAAGAAAAATGAAGAAGAAAACAAAAAACGAGGGAACGCAAATGAGAAAGCTGCATTGAGAGCAAAAGTCTGATCATTGAAAAAGAAGCAAAGATAACTGCAAACAAAAAGATGTGTTAAAACAAAACAAAAATACTTATAGTTTACATGATTACACAAATGATTTGTTTGCAACTTATAGTTTTATTTTTTAAATTACATTTATTTTGCTTGACTCCGTTTTTTTTCTCTTAAACTCTTAGTTTAGCTTGATTCTGAGAAAGTGCTGCTTTATCTTTATGAAACTAAACTAATCCCATAATATCATGTCGACCGTTGCATCTGTTAACTGTGTTGCACATGGTTGATATTACTCCCACTGTTGCAATGCCAACAAACAGATAACAGCCTAAGCACTTCATCTTTGAAGCACAGAGACATGTCATGTCGGAATATTACCTCCATATCACTGACTGTGGTGCATTAAAAAAAGCTTACCTGACAGCCCAGGTTCAGATGGTCCATGATGAAAGTTAACTAACTAGTACAACTTCTCAGGCAGGACATTCTTTTTAGGATGTCATTTGGAGAAGTACAACATCAACGTCGACACTGAGCTTTGAGAAAAGTTTGAAAGTGGAAATTATCCGTCAAAAGGTGTGTTTGTTTGAGTCAGTTGCGCAGTTTCCATTTTACTGCTTCATGCCATGCTTCATGCGCGACAATGCTTCTGCAGCGGGGAGGAAGCACTGCCAGCTGTGGTGATTAGAGACTCCTCCTCCGACTCCTCCTCCGAGAAACGGTTTCCTGAAGATCTGTTTCAGAATCATTTATTGTCTATACAAATTACCAGAGATGGGAGTACTCAGTCAGGTCGTGTACTTAAATAAAAATAATAAGTACAAGAGTGTATGAATACTCTGCTGTAAGTTAAAGTCCTGCATTCAAAATAATACTCAAGTAATTTTGTAGACAAGTATTAGCATCTAAATATACTTACCAAAAATGAAAAGTACTTATTATGCAGATTGGCCCATTTAAAAATAATATATGATATATTTTTATTATTGATGCATTAATGTGTTTATCAAAGATGGTAAATGTGCAGCTAGTTTTAATTACTTTGTAGGTTGCAGGGTAGCTGAATGTTACTCCAGGTCTATCTAAAGTCTTATTTAAGTCTTGTTTATATTTCACATAATTAATCATAATGCGCAAAGTAATTTTGGACCTTTCAAGAAAGGTCTCATGAACTTCCCCACTCAATCTATCAAGACCCGAGCAGTTCTATACCAGAAGTCCACGGTTAAAGGCACAGGCCGGCGCATACCGCCAATGGAATCCCTCACCATATGAACTCTGACCCCCAGAGTGTAAAAGTGAAGAGGCACAACGAGACTACGTAAATGCACTCTCCTAAAAAAAGTGGGAAAAGGTGAAAAAGAAGTGAGAACCAGGAATATGCACTGAACAGTCCTGTAGACTAGGGTAACCAGAGACCAAACGTAAAGAACAGAGGTCAGTCGGCACCACGTTTAAATAATTAATAAAGTTTGATCTAATTTAAATTTTGATTTTAATCCTGATCTTGATTTTTCATTACATTTTAATATTTTTCAAATTCATTAATTTTTAATATTTTTCAATTAATTATTGATTTCATTTTTTTGACACATCATCAGTTGTGGACCTCGGGATCATCGAGTGTTTCGGCCATTATCACAAGACACTCTCACCCCAGGAGGGCCCTGTCGGGGTGATAGGTTAGGGTTAGGGTTCACGTCTTCTTACTGGCCATAAAAAGCGTGACCATATCACCCCAATTCTGGCTTCATTGCACTGGCTTCCAGTTCGGTTCAGAATAGATTTTAAACTCCTTTTATTTGTTTTCAAAGCCCTAAATGGGCTGGCTCCTGCCTATATAGCCGAACTCCTCCATCGCTACACCCCAGGCAGAGCCTTAAGGTCGGCTGATCAGCTGCTGTTGATAGTGCCTAAGACCAGGCTTAAAACCAGAGGGCATCGAGCTTTCGCAGCGGCTGGCCCAGGCTCTGGAATACTTTGCCCCTCCATGTGAGGTCGGCCCAGACCCTGGGGTTTTTTAAATCAACACTTAAAACTCACTTTTTCTCTCTGGCTTTTGTTTAATTATTTATTTATTTAGTTATCCACAGAATTGATACTATTTTTAATATTATTAAATGTTATTGATATTATTGGGGTTTTATGGGGTTTCAGTTTTTTATGATTAGTAGGTTGGGGGCGGGGAGACCTTAGAGAAGGTTCTGACTGGACTGACTGGTTGCTACCTCTGGTTGCTTGGAGCTGAGTTGGTATAACCCTGAATTAGATTAGAACATTTTAGAAATATGAGGAATAACCTCTTGGTTTTATAAACCGTTTTGTAATTACTTCTTCATCCATTTTTGGATCTCTGCTGGGTTTTCTTTTAAAACCCTAAACCCCCCCTTGGGGTTGGTCCCTCCCCTCTCCCTCTGCGGATCTAAGGTCCGGTAGAGGGGGATGGGGCACAGAGTCGCTTATCCAGGCGGGGGAGTGCATCTGACAAAGAGATAGGTTGTTGTGCTCTCTATCTCTGTTTTCTTATCCTACATTTTCACCCTGGACTAGAGGGAAAGCGTTCTTGGACGCCTTTTCAGCTCTGTTTCTTACTATATTCTTCCTACCCCGTTTACCTTGAACTATTCTAGGAGAGTGTGTTGACGTTGACTCGTTGGGCCTTTCCTCCTGTATTTGTTTGTTCCCCAGTTCTTTCCTTTAACTGAATCTAGGAGAGGGCATTTAGGCCTCTCTACTTCCTTCTTTTGATTAGTTTAGTTTTTCACCCCCTTTCCCTTGAACTCATTTATACAGGAGAGTGCATTTACGTAGTCACGTTGTGCCTCTCGGCGTATACTTTGACTTTCTGTCTCTTTGGAGAGTGCTAGTACGTTGGATACGTTAGGCCTTTTCACTGTTGTCCCTCTTCACTAGTATCCCATGTCCCCTCTTCATAATTTGGGTCTTCATAATTTCCACCCTATTCTAAGGGGAAGCATGATGGTGCCTTTTCATTTCAATTTCTGGCTTTGTGTTTCTTCACCTCTTACTCGTTTAATATTTAGGAGAGTGCGTTTACGTAGTCACGTTGTGCCTCTCTTCCTCTGTTTCTGGCTGTTCTTTTCATACCCTTGTTTCTCTGAGAAGAGAAGAAATACTATTCTAAAAAGGAGCTGACACATGGTGTCTCTTCACTTGTACACTTGAGGGGTCAGAGTTCATATGGTGAGGGATTCCATGAGCGGTATGCGCCGGCCTGTGCCTTTACCTTGGACTTCTAATAGAACTGCTCGGGTCTTGATAGATTGAGTGGGGAAGTTCATGAGATCTTTCTAGAGGGTTATCAAGAATAACTTTTATCCAATGACCTTTTCCCTCTCTGTCTGTGTCTGTGTATTATCTTGTTCCGATTAACCCAGCCAAATCCTTTTTTTCTTGTTTTGTATCTATATCTACGCCGGGATCCGGAGTCGAGGCTGATCCTCTTGCTGTAGTCCTGTGTCTTGGATCCTCTATCCCGAGTTCTGGATTAAGTCGTGGACGTTCGGGTCGTGGCTGAACCTGTCTCTGCGGTCCTGCCTTGGGTCTCGTCTTGCTGCTTCCCTGATGGCTTCCACAGGATTGTAGCTGACATCCTCGTGGATTCATCTTCTTATTACAGACACATGCATTTCCTAACATTCGGTCTATATGCTGTAAAATGTATTATCTCTTCGATTTACACACGGCATCTATTGCACGTCTGTCCGTCCTGGGAGAGGGATCCCTCCTCTGTTGCTCTCCCTGAGGTTTCTCCCATTTTTTCCCCTTAAACTGTGGGTTTTTCTCTGGAAGTTTTTCCTTGTACGATGTGAGGGTCTAAGGATAGAGGGTGTCGTTTTTTCTCATACTGATATTCTGAACAATCTGTGCTGTTGTATTTGCTGTAAAGTGTCTCTACTGTAGGCTAATTTTATTATATGTACAGCACTGTCGCTCGACCAAAAATCGTTTATAAATGTGCTATATAAATAAAACTTGATTTGATTTAGATTTGAATTAAGTATATTATAAATGGAGTGGAGTTAAATCCCTGTGAAGCCTGATATATCAAATAATAGTCAGAAAAGTATTTTTCTTTTTTTAAATTGAGGTGTTTATTGCACCTTTTAACAAAATATTTGGTAATTATTGGTAACACTTTACAATAAGGTACACAAAATGTGCTTAGTTACTGAGTAGTGAATAAGGAACGACTAGATAGTTAATGGTTAGTTAATGAGTTTCTCAGTGACTGCGATTGAAGAACTGATGGTTAGTACATGGTTAACAGACTGGGGGGTACTGTATTAATGAATCATTCATTAATGGTTAGTTAATGAGTTCCTGAGTGACTGTGATTGAAGCAATGGTCCGCTGCAGGAGGACACTTTTAAACCTGCCATCTTCGGCTGGCTTGGGTCCCACATCGACTGGTGGAGGTGGATCGGACTCACGTTTTACTGCTTAAGTCATCATTACTTACCTTGCCATTACTTAGGCAGTTTGGGTACGGTAAACTCAAGTAACGCAAACAAAAACAGTAGTTACCCATTACCTAACCATTCCTTAAGCAGTTTGTGTCCCCTCAAGTAAAGTAATGCATCAAAAACAGTAGTTACCCATTACCTAATGACTACCTTACCGTTACTTAAGCAGTTTGTGTCCCCTCAAGTAAAGTAATGGATCAAAAACAGTAGTTACCCATTAACTAATAATTTCTTCACCATTAGTTAAGCAGTTTTACAAACAAACAAACACTGTTGATGACAATGACGGATCTACAGCCACTCAAGTTTACATTTTAATTTAAACAACAATCCAAATGTTATGAACACATTTGATATAAATGAGGAACATATAAACAAACAACCTGAATTTATTAATGACAGTAATAACCAAAACGAGATTGCTTTTATATCTAGAACTTGTGAAAGTGGCGTATGTCATGCAACAATCTGCCTAGGGGACCATCTTTGTGTTCATTTGCCAGCCAATGTGTCCACTCTATGAAAGAAAGATGACTCTTCAGAGTCTTCACTGTGCGGTTTCCCCGCAGTCTCCAGATTTGGGACTTGTATGTTGACCAAGCCCGCTCAATGTTTTGGGTGTGGGCTCCTGTGTCTGGGTCCACAAATGACTGGCTGTGGACCCAGAGAAATGGACAAAGCCACTTTCTGCGAGTGCAGTCATGTACACCCTCCCCATGTCCGTTATCACCGTAGTCTCTTGGCGAACGTAATTTGTGACAAGAGGAATTAAATGGCGCCTTGATCTTAACCAGCCTCAGGATAGGTCTTCTCCTTGTTCCTCTGATGCCCAGCATTCCAAAGACCCATCTTCTCCTCCACGTTTCTCCCCTACCGTACTGTAATAAAGCAGTAAAACACAACACAATTATATAAAAATAATCAGGAATTTCAATTGATAAACAACAGCTTTTGTAACCCTTCTTGTAACCTTACCTTTGGTAGGTGATCTATGGGGTAATCAATATCTAGATTCAAGGGATATTGGTAGAGCAGAACTCAATAGATACTTTAGATCCCCCAGCCAGCACAATCACACACACCACAAGGACTTGTGAAAATTACATTAGAGTGTCTTGTAATTCTACATCAGAGTAATTACAATAATTATATAAAATATAATTACAAGACACTCTAATGTCATTTTTCACAAGTCCTTGTGGTGTGCGTG